TGCAAGGCATGCGAAAATGGAGATAAAGACACTCCAAAGGAGGTCTTGTTATATCGATATCAAAGGTCGATGACCATGACTAAAAGTTATTAACGAACATGCTAAAAGAATAATTTTAATAAAATAAATAATATAAACTTTGGACTTAAAATCACACGATAAAGTGAATGTGATAGACAGGTGTCTTTCATATCGGAAAGATTTAATATGAAGCACGTCATAAATACAAGATACCCTCATTCTACACATTCATTGATTTTAGTAGAGCATTTGACAACGTTAACCATGTAGCTCTTTGGGAAACGCTAGCAGAATGCGGTATTGAAAACCAAATAATTCGAATCTTAAAAAATAACTATTCAAATTTATTTGCTTGCTTCAAAATAAATGATAAAATCTCTCCCTTCTTCAGGATAAAAAAAGGTGTAAAACAAGGCTGCACTACAAAGACGTGCGGCTTGCCCACAAACGTGTGGAGGGCTCCTCATGTTTTAACTTTTATATCCAAATTAAATTAGTTCCAATAAGATGGAAATCGTAGCTCTGTTGCATTTCAACACTAGAGGGCATAAGCGCTATATATCACGTAAATGACTATATAGATAAAATACTATTAAGACAAACTCGACTTCAGATTACAAATTCGCTTCTCACACTAGAAATTCTTTAAATAATGCTTTAGACATTTTTACCTCTTAGACTCCTCTATAACAAAATAAATTTATGTACCCTTCAAGCTTTTATCACATATCACTAACTCTTACTTTGGCGACAAATTTCATGATAAAGATGTGGGAAAGCGTTTTACTGAAAATTGTTAAATCTAAAGAGGGTTATATTACTTCTCACTGGGATTTGTAACAAATATCATTCATTCTAATTATCCGACTTTCATCTCACCCTTCGTTTTAAAAATCTAGCCACACCAGTACACAATTTTGGATTACCGAGGAAGGTTTTTCTTTATTTTTCATCGGATAACGTCACTGTTTTTTTTCAAATATAGAGTATCAAAATTTTATCATTTAAAATTTTTTTCGGTTATAGGTTAACTTGTTTTTAGGTCTGGTCTAACTAAAATACACTCAATAAACGGTTCATATAATCTATATTATAATATAATAATATAAAAGATATTTGCCCTCACTCTCAAAACTTTACTTTGGCAGTTAATAATTTATCATTATTTGTAAAATAGAATATTTGAAATATTTTTTCGCAAAAAAATAAAATATTATCATTTTTGATCTGACTGAGTCATGATTATAATAATTATTCATAATTTTCTAGATAATAATTATGTGCATTATTGTCTCTATATAACTCAAATTATTTAAGGGTAGTTAAAGGCAATTATTGTTTTTTTTGTCGGCTGAAAATAAAAATATATGTTTTTATTTCTAAAATTTTGCGACAATTGACAAAACAAATATTCTATATAAATATTTTAATATTTTTTTAATAAACAAAATATTTAAGAAGTAATTGATTCGTTACTGGATAAAATGTAATTATCTGAATGTCACCTTCACCATCATCAATAAAGTAATTGAGGAATAAAATTTTTGTGAGCTGGAATTAGTAGGAAGTTAATATAAATTAATTACTCAACAATAAACAGCTCACTTTTACTCCTTTTTCTTCTAAGTTTTCAAAAAAAAATCATCCTTTATTTTAGATGATTATTACTCAGTAATATATAAATATCATTATATAAAGTTATTTTGGAATCATAAACTTCCTGGTGTAATTCTTGCATAGTTTGTCAATTGTTTTGGGGTCATTTTGAAAGTTCTTGAACTTATTTTAATAAATTATATATTGTAATTAGGCCATGGCAAAGATACATTTATCTGAGTCATAAATATCAGATAAAGAATTAAAAATGAAATTATTTAATGTAATTATGCTATAGTAAAGATACATTCATCTAAGCCGGAACTTATCAAATACATCTTATTCATAAAATAATTTATTAACTTAACATAGTAAAATATAAATCAGAAAAATAATTTATTAACTCATAATGGAGTGAAATAGACACTTGTGAAAGGAAATCGTGCGAAAAATATTTGTAGGAAACAACTGAGTTAGCAAGTAAATAAAGTATAAAACAAACGCGTTCGCCAAAAAAAATAAAAAAATACTCAGTTCAAAATTAGTCAAAAATAAAATGAATGACACCATGTATTTTTTAAAAAAACAAATTTACTCGTTCAACAATACTATTTATTGCTCGTATTCTCAATTTGCAAAATACGATATACAGTGAAACGATACACATGTTTAAATATACTATAAAAGGGGGTAAACAAAATAAGATTTTATTTTTAATAGAATAAAGATTGAAATTAAATATGGACAAGCAATTAATTAAGAAGATTAATAGTTGATTAATCATTATAAAAAAAATGTGTAATTTATGATGAAAAATGAATTTTTTTTTTATTTTCTTTGAGAATGCTCAAGTAAGATATTTGATTAAATTTCATTTAAAATTCTAAATCATTTTTTGTAAAAAGTCTTTTTAATATTTTAGAATTTCTTAAATGTAATCTATTTTGTATATCCATTTATTTCGATAAAAATATGATAACACTATAAACTTTTATAATAATTTCGATAAAATAATTAATACATAAAAAATATAATTATAATTTATCAAAATATTCCATTGTTCCACGAATTTGATGTTGGTACCTTTTTAGAAATTAAAAGAGTTAATATTATAATTATTAATACAAATCGATTATAAAGATTACCTAATTAATCAGTTGCCCGCGATAACCCAACTCCAAATAGCTTTGCATGTGATTGTAAAAGTTAGTGAAATCATAAGGAATAAATCCGTGTAAGAGTTGAATAATATTCCTAACAATTTCATCTCTTGAATTAGGGCGGGGATTGATTGCTCTAAATTTATTTTTCAAAACTCCAAAAAAATTTTCAATGGGATTTAACTGAGGTGAATAAGGTGGTAGGTATTCAATCCTACCTTTATAAGAATCGATAAGATGGCTTCTATGGATAGATGCATTATCCATTACAATGATTGCATCTGGTGGTAGGATACTAATAAGCTCCGTCATAGAATCACGGAATAATAGCCCATTGTAAGCTCCGTCTATTATTTTATAATGAATTACCCCTCCAATTCCGATTGTACAAAGGATACTTACATTTTTGCCCTTAGAGGATGGGATTTTTATTATTGGACGGACATTGTATGGCGCCCAGGCGTAGATTGGTACAACATGCAAGTTTATTCCAGTCTCATCTAAGAAATATAAATTTTCTCTTGGGATATTTAAGATCTTTGCACAATAAATTTGACGAATATTAATAGCCCCGGGAGTATTTCTTCTATCAGGCTCCTTGCCAGCCCTTTTTTTAGACCAACCAATATTTTTAATATATTTACTAATTGTGGTTTTTGTTTTTGGACTACCAGGAGGTAACTTTTCTATTATCTCCTGAATAGTCAAAGTGTTATTATCCATTAATAGGCTTATGATACTTCTTTCAATAATGGAAGAATCTTTCTTTTTACTTCCTCTTTTTTGAATATTATATTCCTTTAAAGGATCTCCATTTATTTCTGGGAATGTATCCCGTCTAAATTTGTGAACAGATGCAGTAGACATTTCGACATATTTTGCTATGTCTTTTATTTTCATTTGTTGTTTTTCCGGCATCGATAACATTTTGGTAACTATATCTAATTTTTCTTTATTCCAATATTTGTGTATTCTTTTTGGTCTTTGAATTCTCGACGAAGATTGGGAGTTTTCATTTAAATTGGAAAAATTAGTATTACTATTGGATAATAAAGATTCTATATTAAACATTTTTTTTTATTATTTAAGAAAAATTAAAAATAATTAATATGTAAGTATTTTAATTTTTTATTTTGAATTAAATTTTAACACATTTTTTTTATAATGATTAATCAACTATTAATCTTCTTAATTAATTGCTTGTCCATATTTAATTTCAATCTTTATTCTATTAAAAATAAAATCTTATTTTGTTTACCCCCTTTTATAGTATATTTAAACATGTGTATCGTTTCACTGTAATATTATTCAAAATGACTAACTTTTAAATTCGGTGTTGGGTGGGCCGGTCTATAAAATCATAATATAAATATTTAAGACGAGTCAGAAATAATTCCGGACCATGTCAGACTTTAGAATGTTTTTTTCAAATAGCGGGCTAACCCTAAAATTTCCATATCTGTAGGATTCTGTTTTGTTGCTTAAAGAAAATTTCACTTTATGTATATTAAATTATTTATAAACCATTTTAAAAAACTACATTTTTTTTTAGAAACTATACCTATTTAATGACCCTTTTTTGGCTTTATAGTTACTTTTAAAAAGGTAACTTTTAATAATACTAATCAAACTCAAGTCAATCCTATATTTCTTTTCCATCTCTCAAAAAGTGAATCATTAATATATGTTATCGATTTCATTACCCGATAACGTTTCCCCGATTTTTAGAATTTTGATAAAGCTCTTACGCCTTTGACGTTTTTAATTTTTTTTCTCGTGAAAGGTCATATTCTATAAATTAAATTGATTGCTTGATTATAAGAAAAAGTTTGCCATTTTGTTTCTGAAACAAAAAATATAAAATTTTGTGAAGTATATAGCGAAAAATACAAAATTTCTGCTGAGTCGCATGTTTTATTCCAAGTACAATTCTTTTTTATGGAAGGAGGTGGGGGGGGGGCAATCATCCTTCTTGCCTCTCTTCTGATGCAAACGCATTCTTAAAGAAAATACCATTTTTTTATTTATAACTTTCCCGCTTTTAGAGTCAGAGTTTGTAACCTGGACTAATAAGGGTTCCGGTTTTGAATATTAAAAAAAATGCTTCCCGTTTCTTAAATTTTTAAAACCGTTCCAGTTTCTAATTCCTTCCGGTTCTAAACTGATATTTTTTAATAGTATTTTAGGTCCTAGAAATTATATTTATTTTTGTAAAAAATATAGAATATATAGCTACTTAATATGAAACTATGCCAACGAAATCTCATTCGAAGACTGCTCAACCTGGAAAAATTGATGTGAATTTTTTTTTATCTCTCATCAAAAGAAAATATTACTCTAAAAATGCCAACCCTGAATCTTAAAATTTTTATTCCCGATAAAAATGCGACTAAAACCTATCCGTTAGATCAATCTCTTCACGTTTATCAGATCTGCGACCACGTTAGGGAGAAAGAAAATTTGAAGGATCATCAAGGTTTTTATTATTTCTTTCTTTTTAATATATATTAATCACTTTGTATGAAAAGGAAGGAATTTATTTTTAAAATTACCTTTATAAAATTTTGTGTTTTTTTTAGCTCAAGACTGGGGAATCTTCTTATCGGATGAGGATCCTAAGAAAGGAATATGGTTGGAAGAGGCGCGTTCATTAGAATACTATCTACTCAGGGATGGAGTAATTATTTTGTTTATTTTTGTTAGATGTATTTCATTTAATAAATATTCTTGACAAGTTTTCGGATACCGTTTCCAAAGATATCTCATAAATGATCACATTCCGAAGGTTTCACCCGAACATTGGGACTATTTCGGGTTAGGCCTTATATTTAAAAAAATTGGGCCAATCAAGCTTGGTAAAAAATTGGAAACAGACCAGGTAAAGATTTGGCTGGACCGAGCCAAAAAATTCCAACCGGAGTGGGCATAAATATGTTGCCATTCATTCATTCTAAATCTCGTTAAGTAATATTTTCTACTTTTTCTTAAGTATCTGAATAAATTATAGTTTCATTAATTCTCAGACCCTTTTGCATACCAGTTATTGCTCATGCTTTACTAAATCTTTTACGCAATTTAATTTATTTTTCATTATAATCATTATTTGTAACATACAAATGAAAAAGAAATTAGTGCTAGAAAAGTTTTAGCAAAATAACTGGCAGGCAATATATCCAATTTTTATTTAAAATATACGCAAAAAAGGTTAAAAACAAGTTTATTTATTAGTAATATTATAAATATAACGCTTTAAATAAATTATTTTCGCCATATATGAGAAATATAAACAAAAATAATTAAAAAATATATATGATATTATATTATAAATTAGGTTTATTTTGTATTTAAAACAATTTATATCTTCAAATTTATACATAGACAAAAATATATAAGAAAATATGATTTGTGCTATTTTTCCAAAATGTGGCTTAGGCTGATTTGTCTTCATAAGCCTAGACTGACTCCATGGCAACCGATAATAGGGGAATGCTGACGAATGATCTCTAATATATTTCCACTTACATCGCACTTTTATTTTTACATATTAATCTCAGTTTTCTTGTATTAAAAACATAATTTTTGTACAATTACATCTTTTCCTTGTTGCGAAATAGCCATCATTAGCGTAAATTCATCATTACTACATGGGAATACACTATTATTCATCTTGAGAACAGATCTATACTCACCATTTACCATGTTTTTTTTCCGGGGAAATATAGGCGCTCCTTCAATCGACTCCTCTATATAATAAGAAGAGAAGGGTTAGATAATTTGATGCACTTGAACAAGTTTAATATTGAAGATCGAATGAGAACGGGAATTCTCCGCATTTAGATTTGTAAATGCCATTCGTTTCCTTGTAATGCCCTTATTTAATACTTTTATAGCTTCCTTCATGCTTTTAGTTTCGATTTCGGTAGCGTCGTTTATATAAATTTTGTTATTGGAATCTTCTTTTAAATTCTTAGATATGGATTTTGATGTTGTCATCTTCTAGAATGTCATAAACGTTATTGTAGACTTCAATAATGAGAAGAAAATGACATAGCTGTTTTCCTTGCAAATCTCCTGGAGCATCGTGATGTTGAGCGAGCAGGAGAATGCTTCTTCCCTTTGGGCTGCAAAATAGTACCCAGATTTCCATAGGGGTAAAAAAAACAGACTTATTTCCCCTCCCATATTAATGTTGTGCGAGAAAGAGAATACTTCACTTTTGGCTACATAATGTTATGATTTTCAGTTGGATTCCACTTGGAAATACCAATGGTTCAAGATGATGGTCAATTGTGGCCTGTAACAGGGAAGCTCAAAATGAGAAAATTAAGTAACTTACCTTAAAATGAGATTTATATGTAAAAATAAATGCGATGTAAGAGGAAATATAAAAGAAAACAGTGTTGACCAGATTTGATGGTAAACTTTTTCATATTTTTTAATTTATTTGAAAATAAAATTATATTTGACTTGCAAAAAATTGTTAAAATAACATATTTATTATCAATTTTTATGAGATAATTTTATTTACAAACGAATAAAAAAAATATGGAAATGTTTTAAATTAATCCACAACATTAATATTACTTTAATTATCCAATGTACTAGAAATTTCCACCAATAAACTTTATTCTGTTTATATATAGTGTTGCGATGATTTAATGAAACATATTGACGATTAAATTAAAACCCATCCATATAAAAATAATAAAAAAATTTAAAACAATCTTCCTTTTTTCTTTAAAATTTTTTTCAAAACTTATAAATTATTTTATAAAACTTTTCTTAACTTATCTATAATGAATAATTTCACTATCTCCCGTATCTTAGACCTTTCTACATCTACAGATTTGTAACATTTAGCATTATATATAATTTTTTAGATTTTTCAGAACCAACTTATTATCAAAATATTTAACATTCAGCTCTATTTGACATAACAAATATTCTTTATCAAATCAAATAATTGGTTCTATAATAAACTCTGGTATCTATAAAAAACCACAAAAAATATGGTAATTGGAGTCAGGAAAAAATTACCTGAACAGGCAAGTATAAAAACAATGGCCCCAAGACCTCAATTTATCTATAGCCTAGGTATCATTCCCCGAATACTACGATAACCTCTTGGCCGATTACATAATTAATCAAAAAGGATGATTCAGAATTGAAATAATAGTGGAAAATTTATCACATATCAAGATCCATAAAATCAATGGGATGGAGTCGGAAAAAGGTTGGAAAAGTACCCGATAGACGGAATTTCCCAGATGTCATCAATATTCTTAAAGAATATTACCTAAAAATGATGACCTGCCATTTCAAAATATATTATATTTAGATGAAACAGGCTTAATTCCCACGTCATTTCCCACTATGGATGGGCACTTCTGGGTAGGAGGCCATCCGTCAAACTCCCTCCTTCAAAGGGGGAAAACGTATCGGTTTTGTGTACCATAGGAATTAATACACTCAAAAAATACATGACTTTGAATTTACTAATAATTATGGATAATACGCCTATTCATCGTTCCCATATAATAACACAAAATTATTAAAATATAGTATATCTTCCACCTTATTCCCACAATTAAACCCCATTGAAATTTTTTTTAACGTTTTGAAAAATCAATATCGCTCTATATATCCCAAACCAAATAACAGAATCCATAATCGAGGCAATGCTTAATTTCACTAATTATGATTTCACAGCCTTCTAATCTCTTACGAAAAGATATATCGAAGAGGGAATCCATTCTAATTCTTTGTTTAACAATTAATTTAATAGATAATTACACTAGATTATAATATAATATAGATATATTTTTTTCGTTATATTATGTGCAATACAAATAGAAAATAAATATATTTTGATCTTTTATATAAATAAAATAAAATAAATATACATTAAATAAAGATTTCACTAGTCATTTTCGAGGTAAATTTTGTAGAAAATAAAATACACAATGAAAAAATAAGTTAAAATTATCATAATTTGATCTTAAGTTTCCCCAAAAAGAAATTGTGTATCTTTTAACTCATTTAAAAAGTCTTCCAGCTTATAGATAAAAATTAAATTTAAAGAAAAAAAAGATTATTTAAAATTTTTTTATAAGTTGCAAATGTGTTATTTTAATATATTTTTGCTAGTGTTGTAAACGAATGCGTTTATGTTCTTTTTGAACGCGTTCGTGGACGAAGTTCTTTTTTTGAAAAAAATGATGAACGGCTCCTTTTATTTTTATTTTTGATAATTTTGAACGTTAACGCCTTCCTTTTTTACGACGAATGCGTTCGAATTTAACGTTCGTTCAATTTTAAAAACACTTTTTATTTATTTGAAAAAATTAATATTAGTTCGAATTTTTTAGGAAAAAAGTCTTATATTTAATCAACTGTTTTTCCTATTTCACATTTCAATTTTTTTAACACGTCATTATTATAGTTTATTAATTTGGATATTATTGTTTATAACTTCCACAGAACTAACCTATTAAAAATAAACTTATAGCCTTATTGAAAAAATGCATTGAAAAACCTAGAAATAATAATGCAAGATCTGTTAATTTCGAGATATCCTTTTTTTGACGATTAAGGAAAGGATGGATTGGAGGAGGAAAAGTTATCTCAATTTTTGAAGCAAAGGACAAAACAATAAATGTTTTTAATTAATTCTCCACTTTTAAAGAGCTGTTTATTAAGTATAATACCGCATTCCCCTCATCTGCCCTTTAGAGCGCGTTATTAGTATAACTAATGTCGTATTAATGCTAAGTTTTCCTGTCTATAAAATAAAAATTTTGTAAACAATTGTTACTAAAATTTAATAAGAAAAATTTTTTATAAATAAAAATATCTTTTTTTTATTCGCTATATTATATTATATTGTATTTATAATTATATTATCAAAATAAAACTATGTTATTTAATATGGCTATAAAAAATATAAGACAGTTATTTATATTAAATTATTTTATCATAAAATTTCGAATGAACGTGAACGAGTTCCTTTTTTTTTGAAAGTGAACATGAACGCGTTCGATTTTTTTAGAAATATTTACAGCACTCATTTTTGCAAACAAAATAATTTTATATATATGAGTTTTAATTTAATCGTCACAACACTGTATATCACTTAAATAAAATTACTAAATTATTAAATACCTAGTGATAAATGTGAGTTAAATTAAGTTTTTCTTTTATCAATTAAGAAGAATATTTAAAAATAGTGCCGTGGAATGAAATTATCCCATAAGGGTATTTGCGGTTACATTGATTGAAAATGTTAAAGAAATAAATTTAAGATTTTAACTAACAATGTAAGTTAAAAAGTTACCATCACGATAAAATTATGTTAAAGGGGATAAAATTTAATTAATTTGAATAAAGTTGAAGTAGCACTTGTTAATTATTTATGCAGAAAAGGTAATAATTAAAATATGTTCTTTCTTCACCCTCATACTACAGGTTTAAATCAATGTAAATAAAATTATTTAACTTGTAAAAGTTGATAAGAATATATAAATATGTTATTTAACAATTTTTTGCAAGTCAAATAATTTTATTTACAAATAAATTAAAAAAATATGGAAATGTTTTCCATCAAATCTGGTTAACACTAAAATAAGTATTCTCATCTTAATCGCATATCGGCTATTAAGGATATACTTTTTTTTAAAAAAAAATACTTAATAGATTTAAGCAATAACAGTACTTTTTATTGTGTTATTGATTTTATTGATAATATATTTAACATTTTTAATTGTTAATTGTTAAAGAAATTAATAAAAGGAAAAATAAATCCTATATCTCGGTTGTAATTAATTCCTGATGAGGAAGCAAGGAAAAAAAATTCTTTGGGTATTAATGTACAAAATAGTATACAGATAATATTTTACATAATATTACAAGAAATACAAAATACAAAAAAAATGATATAATTAAAGAATTGGATAATATCATTTATCCGATGGTTTCTGAAAATAATTTAGTTGAATGTTAATCGAATTTTTTATAATTATATATCCCTTTTTTTAACATTCAGGATCAACTAGAATACAAGAAAAAAATACGACCTTTAAAGGTGAAAATGATGGACGAGAGTATCAAAACGGTATTGGTGGATGATAGTCAGGCAGTATCCCAGCTAATGGTCGTGATTTGTGGCAGAATTGGTTCGTTTCTATTATTTTGTTTTATTTAGTTTATTTTCTCAATTTTTTGTTTTGTTTGTTGAATGAAAACAAAATGGGGGAAAAAAATAGAAGGGCAGACAACAAAGTAAGTTAGAGAACCTTAAGAAAATAAATTTTTATTAAAAAGTAAGCCGGGAAAAGGGATATTTAATATTTTATGGTAAGCCTTTGATGACGTTAATTAATAAAATTAAATCTTTCCGGGACTTATCTGTCTAAATTTCATTATTGCACCTGGCTCTATTTAATGCCACTTATACGTATAATATAAATTAAAATAGGAATCGCGAATTATGAAGAGTATTCTCTCGTCCGCGAACCACTCGCATCAGAAACCTCGGCCTACCACACAGGCACCTTGTCACGCGGAAGTGGAACCAAAGAACCCTTGTACAATACATTGCGAGGGCGCGTAAGTGGAGACGGCACGTTGAATAGACCCGTTAAAGATGGCGCTAAAGATTCGATGAGTAAAGACGAGCGCAAGATGGAATCCCTGAGAAGAAAGCTCCACACGGATGATGAGAGTTTCAAACATTATTCTATTTTTTTTTCTTCTTCAAAATAATATAAATTTAATATTAGCATCATATGAACTGGAAAATCGAAAAAAGTATTTAGCTTTTACGGGAGTCTGTAGGAATATGGAAATTAAAATGGATGATAAGATCTTTTGGAATTTTTTTAGGATGGTAATATAGCGAAAATGTATAGCTATTGGAAATAGTGTTGTTAAACGGCTTGATTTGAGTTGATTTTTAAAACTGCTTAGCTAATATTTTAGCCAGTAAATATTATGCTTTAAGATTTTGCTCATAGATGGCACAAAGATTTCGACATCTATTAGTGAAGACAATATTTTCTGGTTAAAATATTGAGTTAGCTATTTTTAAAAAACGGCTATCGCCGTTTAACAACGGTAATTGGAAAAATTAATTAATTGCGAAAGAGAGTCTGTGGGGAGAATGAAAAGAATATTTTGGATTGAAAACCTCCTTTATATTGTCTGCAAGAACCATTCAGAATCAAGACTAGAGATATAATGATGAAAGAATAAGGGTCATGGCTACACTACAGCTTTTGGGCTCTTAAAAAATTGGACCGTTTTATGGCCATAACATTTTTTTTTTAAAACAAGCGGATCAAAATATGAAAACAATTTCTTTGAATATTTTAATAAATTTTTAATAGAATAAACTAGTGCTACGCTTTTCTACTTTTTTTGGCTGTTACCGATTCAATGTTTACCGAATAAGACCAAAACTTATCGTTATCCAGTATCATTTTTTAGGTTGATTTATAATTTTTGCCTTAAATTAAACACTTGTTTTTTTAAAAGAATATTGTTATAGCTATACATCTTAAAAACCTAATAAGATATTGAGCTGATATTTTTGGTGTTTCTTAATACGGTCATTAGTTATATAAAATCGATTTACACAGGAATTATGATCTTTTATAATATAACCCTAAACTAATAAAAAAAAATCATGAAATAAAATATTTTCTTTTCTACCTAGCCCGCTTCTAACAATTAACAGGTATCATCCTTTGCATTATAAAATATTTTTTATTATAGTAAGCAATCTAATACAAAATATTTTGATAAAAATTTAAAAACTGCGAAGTATTTAAAAATACACAAAATACAGCATATTTTATTTTTTTTCCACCATGAATTCGTGCTAACTGGAATAAGGGGTTGAATTCACGCTAATTCTGAATGAGGGGTAACGCAAAAACCGTAGATTTTTGTCCAAAAATCTTAAGCTTTTCTTAATTTTTTTCCAAACGTCAAATCCTAAACATTCTCTGGGAAAATGTTACGATCGATAAGTGTCGATATAATCTGACCCCAAACGATGTCAAAATATGTCCTTCAATTCACGTTCGGTCATCCGTCTCCTATCTTTAGCCTGAATATGACCTTCCACGTAGTAATGATAATTATGTGACTGGGTTGTACTTTTTATATGCTCAAGTGGTGATTTTTATAATTGATTGGTTCGATAGTCTACCAAATTACATAAAAAGCACTGCTTACTTTCATAGATATAATTCCTATTAAAGTTCTGCAACTGACAGGTGTTTCAACCGTCAAACCCTGTCTGATTTCCCACATCATGTGTAACATACATCAGACGATGCACACATTTGCCTTAAAATACGAAAATTTTACCATATGAGAAAAAAGGCTCAAAATTATTCGATTCTCTATAAGCGCTATTTTGAGAAACGCTCGATTTTGGACTTTGTTATCTTTTAACATTATTCGCTTAAATTCTGTAGTATTGCCTTAGCCAAAAAAAGTTTTGAAATTAGGTGTATATAGTACCCTGCAAGTAATTTTCTTCCGAATTTTAAAAATTATTTGTCCGAGCACACTTTTTTAGGTTTGACCCTACCCCAGCCCAATCAAACTTTTTTTTATAATTTGAGTTTAAATATTATAATATCTAAGAAACAATTAAAAATGATGTTTATTTATTCACATATTGCCATCTTAAATTAAAGTAAGTTTAACTCCCATAGTAATCTAATCAATATTCATCTAAATCTGCATTTTATTTAATGTATATGTTAGCGGCAAGGTATTTTTTCTGGCAATGTGTTATTTTTACAATTATAAATTATTTTTTAGGCGCGTTTTGTTTGATTTAAAAATTCTACCCGAAATGTATTTCAGCATGTTTAGAATACTTATCTTATGAATAGCAGATTATTTTACTCTTAATTTTTGAGTGATTTATTAGTTAAGTGAAAAATATATAGAGAAACGAATATGATTATATTAAGTTCTAAGGTTCATGATTATCTGGAATTCATAGGATAGGTGTTTCAAACATGATATATACATTTCCATTAAAATCAGATTTTTGTATCTAATAAAACGCGCTCATAAAATGATTTATAGTTGAAAAAATAACACATTGCCTCTAACATATACATATAAATTATTCAATTTAAATACAGTAAAATACAATCGAATTTAAAAATTAGTATGATTATATAAAAATAATTTGCATGATGTCAAAAATGATATAATTATTTATAGAGAAAAAATTTCTGAAAAATATATAATATTAACATATTAAAAAGACATCATTAATTCTTATTGACATTTGAGGATATTTGTATTTTTAATATTTATTTATAGGATCGGGTCCTTCGAGTCGGATACCTCTTACTCGAGCCTGATAAAAAAGTCTTAATCCAGCGCAGGCCTCTACCTGTATATATAAATTTTTGTCCGCTTTCGATATAATTGGTTGGAAGAAACTGTTAGAGAAGCCGACAAAAATATAAATTTTATTCATATATATTTTAATTTTTTTTTAAATTAAAAAGTAAATTGGGTAGATAATTGCAAAACCCTGCGCGAACAGGGTATAGAAGAATTCGAGATTTTGCTACTCAGGCGCAAGTTTTTCTATTCCGATCAAAATATCGATTCTCACGATCCCGTGCAACTCAATTTGCTCTACGTGCAGGTAGGGAAATGAAAAAGGGATAAAATATTTTTTTAAAAAATCTGTTTTAAAGTTTATTAATAAAAGTAATAATAAAGAATAGAATAAAACGACAAGAGGATTAGGCCTCATGAGCTTGGATTGATTTTTAATGTGGGGGAATTTTTTAACCAATAAATTATTTTTTCTTTCAAAAAACATCTAAAATATTGGTCATTTGAATTTAAAAAAAAATAAAATAAAAATAGTGTCGAGACGCGATAATAAACGGGACTCATCCTGTGACGCTTGAGCAAGCTTGTAAATTTGCCGGAATTCAGTGCCAAATTCTTTATGGGGATCATAATCCTCTAAAACACAAATCTGGATTTTTGGAGTAAGTATTATATACTCCTTAAATATTTTTATTACATATTGGATCGGTTGATAACGGTGAGATCGGATCAGCTCTTATTAAGCTTTATTGATACATCATTTTTATAAACTTTAAAAAAAAACATTTTTGAACGAATAATGCAAAGGTAAGAGAAAATGCAAATTTAAAAAATTAGAAAGGTAAGAGAAAATGCAAATTTAAAAAATTAGTTAAATAGGGAATTATGAGGTTTCATATATTTATTATCTTCCCTTTTTTCTATTGGTCTAAACCTTATCAAATCATCTTAGTCTAACATTATCGTTTTATGTCACTTCTTCACTCAGAAATAAAGAAGGTCAGGAAGAAAATCTTTACGATAACATTTTCATATTTTTGGCAAAATATTATTCTTTCTTTTTAAAATATAAATTTATTGAGCATTTAAAACACGTGGTCAAGGAAAGAATATTTAAAAGAAGATCCACATGAAAATCGTTGATGAACTTAAAATATAATAAACGGAGAATTATAGTTGTAGGCATTCTAATACAGTAACATTTTTTCGTTGTGATTTTGACGTTTCTCGCTTTTTAAAATATTTGAATTATAGGTCTATATGCTCTACCTCCTTTTTTAAAAAATTCCTTACAACTTCTAAGAATATTTTTTTTAAACTTTTACGCTATAAAATAAATTTTAAATTTAATACGTATTCGTCTTATTTTATTACGAAAGTCTTCAAGAGTTGATAGTGAAAGATTTTCGGAAGATGAAAGGACTAGAGAAAAAGATCTACGAGGAACATAAAACCTTCTGCGGTTCTAACGAGATCGACAGCAAAGTCAGTTACGTCAAATTAGCGAGGGCACTTAAAACCTACGGAGTCACCTTTTTCTTGGTTAAGGTAAAATAAAAAATCTCAATAATTTAATTTGAATATTTTTTATGCGCGGCTACCCGAGCCCGCCAGCCAGAAGTCGTATAGAATCGGATATTTTTTTTCTAGAATCGGATTAGATGTCATATTAATTCGTTGACCGACGTGGAACGAAGAGGAAAATGAATATTGATATGATAATATTATAAAAGGATTAAAAAAACAATAAAAATTTTTCAATGCACATTAATTTTTCATTTTAAAACTCGTTAACTTAATTAGGAATACCTTACATTTTGGATTAATGTTACGTAGCACCATGTCGGTAAATAGTTTCCATGCTATTATTTTAAAATAGCTTAAAATAAAAGGAATCTACATATAGGACAATATCTAATTTAGGCTAGTGAGATTTGTATACAATTCTAAATTTCACAATATTTCAAATTCGTTTTTAGATATATATATTATTCGTCTCATCTGCTTGATTTCTATAAAATAAAAAATAATAATGTATATTATATATATGGGCAGGCGCGTACGCAGGAAATTGGTCTGGGGGGGGGGATAATAAAATTTTTTAAGAAATATTATAGTTATTGAAAAATATAAAACATAAATTTATTAGGACTAATAACTATTTCTAATACACAATTTTAAATTATATATGAATTATAAATAAATTATGTATATAAACCGGCACATAAAAAACTATAAAATAAATGTGAATTAAAAAATATAAAGTGAATATTGACCCAAAATAGAAATTTGAATTTTTTGAGTCTTTAAAATTTTTATATAAAGTATAAAAAATTTAAATGTTGGAAATATAAATATTAATACACAAAAAGTTTCTTAGGAATAATTGTATTTTGTATATTATATATTTACAATGTAAAATTCAATCTTCGTTGGGATTGAGCTAATTTTTCAATTACTCATTCTTACTTGGCGTCAAATGCCTATGAATATTTAAAAGATCCAAACAATTCAATCCACTTTCAGAAGTTGTACTTCTTAGGTATGTTTTTCAGAGAACCCCGGTTCCCGGGCCGGACCGTATTTTAATTTTTTAAATATACCCGGGCCGGGCCCTAAATTTAAAAAAAAACACCCGTGCAGGGCCTAAAACTTTTTTTAAAAAAACACCCGGGCCGGGCTTAAAACTTTTTTAAAAAAACACCCGGGCCGGGCTTAAAACTTTTTTTAAAAAAACACCCGGGTCGGGCCTGAATTTAAAGAAAAATATCCGGGTCCAGCTGTATATTTTAAAACCAAATATTTGAAATTAGCTATAAAAATCAAAAATAAATACAATTTTTTTAAAAAAAGGCGGGTCGGGCCTAAAAATTTATTTTAAAAAAACCCGGGCCGGGCCGAAAAAAAATTTGAAAAAATATTCTTAAAAAAGAGAATGTTCTCTCATTAGTCCACTAATGGGAAGAGTTGCTAATTATAATCATTTTAATACATTGGGAATATAATCTAAAATGGGTTTGAAATTATACAAAGCATCTATAGCATTTTTTGAGACTATATCTTATCTTTTAAAAATAGTTATTCAGCTAATGAGGCATCAAACAAATATTATTTTTTTCTATCACCATCTGAAAAAGATTGGGAAGGCTTTTGTGGAAGTAATATCTGCAGATTGGTAAGTGCTGCATGATGAATTAAAAACCATTCATTTATTTGGATTATAGTTTTATAATACTTTTCTACTTATCTTATACTAATGTTTTGACTATGAGCTTGCCTTGCTGCAAGTCGAGGGAGACAAATATTAAACACGTATAGCTCTCCTTTTGACTCAACAATAACATGTAAAATTGAAATTCTTCATCAACATTAGCCCTAATTTCCTTGAGTTGTAATAAAATGTTCTCCGCTATTCTCATCTTCTTAATCAAGTCAATGCCATGTTTTTGAAAAGTGTTAGATAAAATAGTTGTATAATCAAAATAATACATTCTAATGAGAAAAAAAAATTTGAAATAAGTATTGAATCCAATAATTTTCCTGCTTCTGAGGAAATATTTCTTTCAGGCCATTGTGATATTTCAGTAATAGCATTAATAATCGGCTCTTCTAACTCCATAAAAGCTGTTATTGTTTGATGGCGGAGACTCCATCTCGTTGGACAAGTTAATTTATTTCTCCCTGTTTGACAAGGAGTTTCAGAAAAATTATTATTTGACTAGAAATATGAAAATGGTAGATAAATATTACGCCGCTAAAAATTTGAAAATAATAGGCAAATATTACACCAATGAAAACTTGAAATCGAAATTAATTGATAAAATAACTTAGTAGATGAATGTGATAAATAAATGTAATTAAATATATATAAATATGAGATAGGAATAAATATTATCAAATATAAATTAATATAAACAATAATATTTTTGGAAAACATATCCGGCATCTGCATTTTTTGGCTTGGGGGGGATTTGTCCCAATGCCCCCCCCCCGCTGCGTACGCGCCTGTATATGGGGCTTAAAATAAATTTTTCGTTTGGGACTATTTATCGACTCCTGGGTTCCGTAACAATAGCCTAAATTTTGTGTTGAATATTTTAAAATAATTATTTGCATTTCAATCGATATTAGTTATTGCATTATAGTATTTTCCGTGAATTTAATTAGATATTATGCTCGGCACCTCTAAATATATAATATTTTTCGTTATTTAAATTCTTGGGCTTGTTTGATAAGGAAAAAATGAAGGGGAAAAATAGGCTTAGACCTCGTTTACTTGGTATTACGAAGGATAGCGTTCTTAAATTAGACGAGCAAACGAAAGAGATGGTTCAAACATGGCCACTCACCCGAGTGAAGCGTTGGGGTGCTACTCCTCATTCATTCACATTAGATTTTGGCGATTACCAGGATGGGTATTACAGCGTTCAGACGGCTGATGGCGAAAAAATTAGCTCTCTCATCGCAGGCTACATTGACATCATCATGAAGAATAGGGGCAATAAGAAGGGAGGTAAAATACTCTGCTAATGATATCTGTATAATAAATATAAAGTTTATTAAAAATTAGGTTTAAAACGCCCCAAAATAAATTCTTATAAAAGTGATGTATCTTTTATTTTTAACAGGAGGCTCTAATAAAAATGGAACAGCCCTGGAAAGTTGTGAAGTGGGCTATAATATCCCATATCGATACGACGGGGATGAATGGGCCAATATGCAAGGTTCAAATTATATATATATATACTTATAAAATTAAATTATAACTATTCTATTTTTTTTGCTCTTTCTATTTGATTTAATATGTTTTTATCAATCTTCATTTCTTTATCTTTATGTTTCTTTCTTAATTTTTTTTAAAATTTCATTCTTACAATTTACTTGTAGAATCCCTCACAAGGGGAGACGAAGAATCAACCCTCATAGAAGAAATAGTGAGTCCTCACAGAGCCACATATATCAAATTCCCATCTTCCTCCCCACTCACCGGCAAGTTAAATTCATCTACGAAAACGGCCCCTAGCGGCTCAACCTACATCGACAATGTACCTGGGCCGTATATTGGGAGTCGATCTGGACGGGTTGTATTCAACGGACCTGCTCACCCTACAGGTCGCACCCGATTTCTAGCAGACCCGGCTCATAAAGAGTGCCTCGAGAGAGGTATTCTCAGGATCGGAACCGCATTAGATAAGTTAAACAACCGCGATAATAGGGATACAAATGGCAAGAAAAATCAGGGTGGCGATATGAATGAATTCAAGGTTTATTGTATTTTTAATTATAAATTTTTGAGTGTTGTTAAGGTTATTTTAGTTAGAGGTATAAGTTACATCATTAGAAAGTAATTGGTTCCAGTTACTTTTAAAATTTAAAAAAAATAAGCAAATTTGAGTAATTTGTGATTGGCAAGAAAAAGTTAGTTACTTTTTGAAAAGTTAAAAGTACTTAAAACACATGTATTTTAACTATAGTTATAATTTCTCTCGAAAGTAATTAGTTATCTTTTAATATTTAATGTAACAACGTTTCATTTAAGCAATGTAGCTCAACGTAACTAGTTGCATTAACAACATGTGAGTATTTATATTTAAAACACAAAATAACTTTAGATCGAAGGTGAACGTCGCCGACGAGTGAGATTTGTCGAAGATAAGATAGCCCGGATTACGGCCGGTTCTGCTCGAATAATGTCTCTAGTGGCGCTCCCAAGTTCTGATACCCACGAAATGGGAGTAGAGGGGGCTGGTCAGGAAGAAGATTTTGCCCTTTCCCTTAGAGTGGCCGTGACAGACGTGGCTGATAGTCTGGAAGGATTGCTCAAAGAGATTAACGTTATCGAATCTGAAACTAACGGAATGGATGATGGTAAAATTAGATCTTTAAAGTTTAAAAAAGAATCCTGACCAACTATTACTACTTTGAGAAAATGTTTTAAATTATAAATCCTTCAAAAATACTATTTGAATCATTTTTATTATTAAATGTAGTGTTTAATTTGGATAGTTACGGATGAAAAATAAATACCTATTATCATAGTAAATTGAATATTATATATTAATAATTAAAATATTAAACGTAACAATATAGAAAATAGAACCACGCTATTAAACGCCGTAAAAGAATTGGCATTGGCTACTACAGGTTTGTTAGAATGCCTTAGAAGCGACAACGACCTCTTAGCCAATCAAGAAAACAATTCGGACCAGCATGAAATGAACGAAAATGGAGAGGTTTTTTTTTTCTTTTGTATAATAATGTCGGTTTACGTTTATAAATGATAAACGAACATTCTTTTGCGTGTTATTTAATCATTGACACTGCAGATTTTAGAGGAACGAAACGGGAACATGATTTAAATAGATTAACTTTGAAAATATATTCTATAATAGTCTGGGCGTTTTCATGAATCTAAAAGCTTTTGTAATATAGACATCAGAGACCTGCAGGCCAGGACAAAGCCCAACCCGGGTAAGGGCTATATAAATTTTTTAATCAACCCGGGTTGGGCTGAAAATATTTTTAACCCGGGCCGGGTAATATTTGAAACTCGACTACTATTATATATAATAAAAAAATATATATTTATAAATTGTATCATAAAAAGATATATCCCATTCATTAACTTTTTTATATTTCTGCAAGATTTTTATTTTAAACTTGCTCTAAAAAAATTCTAAAGCCCGATAATGTTTAAATTTTTTAGCCCGGTCCGAATTATTTGAATAGTTTATACCCGGGATTCGGGCCGATTTGCAAGACTCTATAGCGGCATTTTTATTTTTAGAAAATATTTTAAAGACGTAACCCAAAATTGTAAGATTTTTATATATTTTTTTAAAATATATTTTCTTGTAATTTTGGATGGGCCATTCTCGGGGAAAGAATTTTGAAAAAAATAAAAATATTCTTAATATAATCGATTTTGATTTGGCTTATTCTTTATATATATCAGAGACCTGTAGAGGTACCATTTGTACGTCCCGGCCCGGATTTTTTTTAAATTATTTTGGCCCGGCCCGGGTTATTTTTTAAAAAAAATTTCTGGCCTGGCCCTGATTTTTTTAAAATATATTTTATTTATTCTTGATTTTTATAGCTAATAAATGGCGATTTCTTTTAAAATATACAGCCCGGTCCGGATATTTTTTTAAAAAAAAATTCAGGCCCGGCCCTGGTATATTTAAAAAAAAATAGAATACGGCGGCTCGTGTACCCAGGCCGGGCTTAGGGCTTGACCTGCAGGTCTCTGATATATATAAATATTTAATTTTTTAAAATAGTAAATAGTCGCCATTTTTGTTAGTGTTAAAGATTGGAGGAATCGGTCTCGGTATTTTTATAGAGGATACAATTATAAATTATTTTTTATTTATTTTATTCTAATTTAACTTAATAAGTTTCAGATATATTTTCACTTAATTCTGAACTCAATATTTTAATATAAGACCGCGATATAACTGTTTTAATATCATTCTATTTTTATAATTAATGAATAAAGATATTCAAAATTATTAACTCAATGGCATACGCCGAACCGAGTTGTTATTTTCTCTTTCAAATTAGTTCAAGATTCGATGTACCCCCCCCCCCCCCAATCGCCATCTTTGGAATGAAATAATTTTTAAAAATATAATAAAATATAAACGTTCTCACTCCTTCTACTTGTATTTTTTAAATGCCCACCCCTTTACATTTGATCACTATTTCCATTATTTAAACGTTTTTAGGTGATTTTTGGTTTATTTTTCTAAAATATCGAAAAAATCCTTTAATATTACATTCTCCATTTTTATATTTTTCTAATAAAATTTGTAAAATCTTTTACAGAGTAGAAACTATTAGTGCTTCTATATAATATATACTCAATACAATAATTTATTTTACCTTTTATTTTATGAACTTGTTAAGACTTAGAATATAATATAATTTAAATGAAATAAATTAAAATAATTATCAAAAAATAATTGCATTAATAATGATTTTTTTGATTTTCTTCGCGCTTATAAACTTCAATTTAATTGACACAAAAAAAGAAAAACAAAATTATTAATAATATTAGTTTTTTTTTTACAATAAATACTAATATAATAATAAGCAATAATTAATTAATTTATTAAATCAAAACATAAAATATTGCCAATAATAGTGTTGTTAAACGGCTCGATTTGAGCCGATTTTTAAAAACGGCTAACTTAATATTTTAGCCTGAAAAATACTAATTCTCGAAATTTCGCGAATAGATGTCCTTTGTACCATATATGAGCAAAACTTTTAGGCTTGCATAATATTTTTTGAATAAAATATTAAGTTAGCCGTTTAAAAATCGGTTTAAATCGAGCTGTTCAACAACATTACCAATAACAATGACTTGACAGAATTTATAAAGTAAATTATGCAAAAAAATTAACCATGAACTAGCAATTAACGTTATAAAAAATGAATCAATGACATAAAGTATATTCTCATATTTAGTTATTAATTATTCGCTGTAATTTGTAAGCATTTAACATGTTAATGATTTTAATGTTAAATAATATTATATATTTACGAGAAAAAAAATTATATTTATATCGCACATATATACATTTCAAGATTTAACATTTTTCATAATTATCTAATATAAAAATAATTAATTATAAAATTCATATTTTTATGAAGGTAGCGAATTAATTATATAGATAAATTTTTTTTAGATGATATATAATAGGAAAATTAAATAATAATAAAAATTCCTCAAGATAGAGTATTTTTTAAAATCTAATTAATATATTTTTTATATAACAAAAAATACCGTTTTTTACAACAAATAAATATAATTGTTTATTTAATAATATAATATTTTATAAATTAAAAATTCATATAAAATTTTTTGGAAGAACAAACTTAAAAAATTAAAAATAACCGCATATAATTCATGAAAACATAAAAATTGGAAAATATATTTATTTATATATAATAAAAAAATTAATTATTGGTTGAATGTGCGCCGTCGCCAGTGATTTTTGACCACGTCGACGTCGCCGCGAATAAAGTGTCGGTGCTCATCATCCGTCACCGATGGAAAAATTCGGCGGCGTGGTGACATGATTTTATTATTAAAAATAATATTTATTAAAAATAATATTTATTAAAATAAAATTTATTTTATATATTATTTATGAATAAGAAAAGTAATTTTAAATTTATCTTAAACTTTTATAAAATACGATTTTATTTTTTGCTATAGTTTTTGATATGTGGATCGACAAATATAGATGGCGAAATTATATTACCCTTACATTTCATGAAATAGTTAATAATCTTAATATCGCTTTTTATTCATTGGTTACGCATCATGACACTCAGAAACATACCGCCGAAACTATTCTTTTCGAGATAGATAAAGTTGAAAATGAATTCAATTTAGGGTTTAAAAAAATTCAAATAGTTACGGATGGACCAAATGTAAACAAAAGTGTTCGTCTAGGAGAATATGACCTTCATTTATGTATGGGGCATACAACATCTTTAACGTGGAAAATTTTTTTTAAATATACTCCTAGCTCATTAGATCTTTAAATTATTCGTAAACGAAATTCTTTTAAATATTAATTATAAAAAATTTTTCTCATGTAATATTTAATGTAAGATATTTATTTATTCTTTTTTGATGAAATTTAAGATTTCTTAACTTATTATGATAAGCATAATATACGAACCTGCTATTTCCAAAATGGCCCTAAAATTTATTTACATTTTAAATACATTATCCAATTGGGATTGAGTAGTCAGATGTTAATATAATTAATATGTTTATTAGATATTAAATGATGTCATATTGGCATAAAACCGAACTGTAAAATATCAAATTGGTATATTTTTTATAACCCACCAGGCCTTAAATTTTTTTTATTACCAGGGCCCTTAAAATTTTTTTTTTATAATCCAAAGTCGTAAAAAATATCCTTTTAAAGATGTCTATTTTTTTAAAATCCATCTTTAATATTTTTCTTTTATATAAATGATAAATAGCACTCGGATCCCGTGAGACTTCGAATAGCCCTTATAGCATCACACTTGAATCGCGTTGGTGAATGCGGGGCACTCGTTCTTACAGCCCTAGGTGATGAGCCCAATATGCACGATGCCAGTTTGAATCAGTCCAATGAAAATGGAATCAGGGGTACAATATTACTATCTATTTATATCATGCTAATTTGACTTAAGGTTAGGCACGTCTAAAATATCTTCTATTCGAACAGAATCTTTATTCGAGAACGCTTAACATTTAAAAAAAATTTATATTGCTTGTATTTTATAAATTTATAATTTCTACGAATATATATATTTTGCAACGAAGAACTGATGGGTTGTGCTAAAGGAGTCGCGAATGCTGCGGCACACTTAGTCCTTAGGGCCAAACATATAGCTAATGAAGTAGGGTCAGAGGGGGAAACCAGAGAGAGGATCGTCGGTGCCGCCACCCACTGCGCTCTCAAAACTTCCCAGCTCATAACTTGTGTCAAAGTAATATTTAATATATCAAGGTATGAATAAATTAATAAAGATTTCGTGATTTTGAGGCCTCAAAATTTCGAGATTATTACTCGCATTAAACTATAATATTATGTTTTATATAGAATTACGTAACCTATATTAATAACCAAATGTTTAAATTTAAAAATAAATAACGAAATTATTAGGTAATGGCTCCTACCATCCACAACGAAGTTTGCAAGACTCAAACTATTCAATCAGCTCAAGCGGTCACTCAATCTGTCAATCATGTATTGATGATAGCCCAGGTTTGTTTCTACTTTGAACATTACTCATTAGTCAGCAAAGCAATATCAACAAAATAGTATAGCGTTGATAATTGCTTTTGAAAGATCAAGGGATTGTTAGGTTTTGAAGTGTTAAATTTTGAAGTTGATTATTATAAAAAAAGGAAGATTAAATATTAAAATATATATAACATCAAACCTTTTTTTGTATTTAGAAGTACAGGTAACTTTATTTTGAAATAGAATTAATTGAATAATAATTGGTGAGTATCTTTTAAATGATTTTGTTTCGTATATATATATCTTTTTTTTAAATATTCAAATAATATTTTTTAACCAAAATTTGAATAACGAAAGAAATTAATAATTTAAACATATACTAACAATGCCCAACTAAAATTATTATATAATAATAATAATAACTAATTATAATATTCAAAATATAAAAAAAAAGGAATTAATTTTTTAAAAAAATGAATAAACACCACAATAATAACTAATTATAATATTCAAAAAAGTAATTACATAACAATATAAAAAAATTAATAAAAAAAAGGAATTAATTATTTAAAAAAATGAATAATTACAACATCTTCCTCCTTAAAAACCCACTTGTGTGGAAGATTTAGGCTGGTCATTATCTTCCCTTACCGATAGCATTGTTGTCGGAGGTTAACGCCGCAGTTGGACAGTAACGTAACTTGTGGGTGCCTCCGCAAGACCAACCATTCGACTTCTCCTGACCCAATCTTGATCTGTTCTGGTCTCATATCTTGGTCTTTTTGTTACTTCTTGCAATAACTCTCCATATCTTTGTTGTGCCTCCAACCGGGCAGCTTCTATCCATTTCTTCGACTCTACGGATCCGTCAACCTTCGTATTTCGATTTTAATAATTTTATTCCCTACTCTGACGAAGGAAGCCATCTAAAACAAATTACTATATAATTTAATTTTTTTTTAAAAAAAATCTAATGATCTCCTATAAACTCTCATATTTTCGTAATTATTTTATTCTTCTATAAATTATGATTCTCATAACTATGTCTATCATCAATTCCATATCGTCAGAAATTATGATCAATTTATCATCCTTAGAATTATGATTCTCATTATTATGTCTATCATCAATTCCATATCGTCAGAAATTATGATTCTCATAACTATGTTTATCATCAATTTTCTATATTCTCTGAAATTATGATTCTCATAATTATGTCTATCATCAATTCCATATAGTCAGAAATTATGATTCTCATAATTATGTCTATCATCAATTTCCATCTCATTATATATATATATATTTTCCTTAATTCTAAAACATTCTATCTATAATTATCTCCAATATTATTGGTCTAAGTATCTAGGTCTTACTTGTTTGATATGTCTAGACCAAGTTCCCTTTTGTCCTTCAATTTCTACCGCAACTCCTTTTTTTCCTAAATTTCTCTTTACTATTCCCTTCCCCCATTTAATTGGACCATCAAACATAAGAATCCAAACTAAGCTTCCAACCTTAAATTTCTCCTCATATGTATTATCCTTTTGTTTTATTTTTTCTTTCAAAAAATCTAATTCCGTTCTTGTTTTTCTACCTAAAAATATCTCCCCGGGTGACTTCCCTTTGGCTGTCTTAGTGTTATTGTAAGCTAATAACAATAACCCCCATTTTCCTTCTCCATATTTTTCTTTCTTAAGCCAGCTTTTTACAATGGAAACCATTCTCTCGACCTGTCCATTACTTCTCGGGTAATGTGGTGGCGATAATAAATGCTTAATATTCCACCTTTCACAAAATTGGTCAAACACTCTACCTTTAAACGCTGGTCCTCCATCCGAAACTAAAGTTTCCATTAATCCAAACTTACCTACAAAATCCTTTATTCTCGTCAAGGCTACTCTTGTCGTTAAACCTGACACCTGTTGACAATCTATCCATTTCGACCCTGCATCTACCATGATAAAATATTTTCTTTTTTCATATTCTAAAAAATCTACATGTATTCTTTTCCCTGGAACCCCTGTTTCTGGCCATTTATCTGTTTTATTTTTTGTTGGTACATTTGCCCACATGTTACAGGTATCACAACTTCTAGCTAAACTTTCTGTTTCCCTATTCATCTGGGGCCACCAAATATATTCCCGTGCTTTATTTTTCATCCTTTCTATACCCTGGTGTCCTGTATGTATCGTTGCTAAAATATCTTTTCTTAACTTCCATGGAATTACTACACGATATCCTCTCATCAGACAATTGCCTTCAATATTTAATTCATTCTTAACTCTTTTGAATGCTTTGTCCTCATTTTTCCATTCTATGTCTCCTTTCACACATGCTTTAATTCTCATTAATTCTTCATCTTGTTTAGATACATTATCTACCAGTTCCAAAGTTATCGGTTTCTCTCTAGTATCTACTTTCAAAGATCTTATAATATTATTAACTTCCTCTTCTGCTAAACATATTTCTACATTATTGGTTTTGGACTCTCTTTCTTCCTCTTCTGTTTCTTTTAAGAATAATCTTGATAAAATATCTGGTAAACAATTTAATTTACCTTCTCTGTATCTAATTTCAAAATCAAAATTACCTACCAATAACAACCATTTTTGTAACCTGGGCGAAATCATTAACTCTTTATTATCTTTTCTAAATAGTCCTACCAACGGTTTGTGATCAGTATATAACAAAAATTTTCGACCCAATAAATACTCTCTACATTTAGTTAGACCAAACTTTACTGCTAACGCTTCCTTTTCTATAGTTGAATAATTTTTTTCTGTCTTATTAAACTGTCTTGACAAAAATTAAATAGGCTTCTCTATATTATCAATCATCTGTAACAATACTCCTCCTATACCTTCATTGGACGCATCAACTGCTAATATAATATCTAAATTCTCATTAAAACAATTTAATATAGGTTTCTCTACCATCTTTATTTTCAATCTTTCGAAACTTTTCTCCTGTGCTTCTCCTCATTCAGACTTTTTATTTATCTTTAATAAATCATACAACGGAGTGGCAATTTCTGCAAAATTTTGAACAAAACGATGATAATAATTTGTTGCTCCTAAAAACGCATGTACTTCCGTTTTATTATTCGGGGCTCTCATATTCATTATCTTATCAATATTCTTTGCAATTGGCATAATTTCATTACCCTTAATAATATGTCCTGAATACTTAATTTCTTTTACTCCAAAAACACTCTTATTCATATATTGGCTCTTAAACCATTTTTCAATATTGTATCTAACACTTTAACCAATCTAGTATTGTGCTCTTCTTCTGTTTTACCCGATATCAGAACATCATCTAAATAATACATTACTCCTTTTATTCCCTGAAATAACGCCGTCATAGTCCTTTGAAAAATTGGCGCCGAAACTTTTAAACCAAATGGTAGCCTACAAAACGCAAATAAACCCCTATGTGTTGTTATCGCTAACATTTTACTTGTATTCTCATTAACTTTAATCTGTAAATACGCATTAGAGAAATCTATCTTCTAGAAAAAAATCGCTCCTTTCAAATTTGCCAACAGTTGTTCTATTCTCGGTAAAGGATACTTTACCGTTATAATCCAAGGATTTAGTGAAATCCTATAATCTATGCATAGCCTTAGACTATTATCAGGTTTTCTTACTGGCACTAACGGTGTTGCCCATTCGCTATGTACTATCGGTTTTATTATACCTTCTTTTAACCATTTATTTAATTCTGTATCAATCTCTTCTATCCAAGAAAATGGCAATCTTCTTACTGCACAAAATTTAGCCTGGTAATTCTCTAATAATTTTATATCTATTTCCACATTTTTAATGTACCCAACTCTTCTTTAAAAACCTCCAAATGTTGATCTAAAATGATACTTATTTCATTGCAGTTTTTATTTTCGACCATCTCTTCCTGTTCTGCTGCTTTACTTCTCTGTCTGTTGATTTCGATTGGTGTTACCTCAATAGAATTTATATCTTTTGACATCTTATTCTCTTTGACTATATTTAATCAAAAACTCTGGTGTTCGATTTCTAAGTCCATCGAGAACTAATTCTTGTTTATCCTCTATAATAGGTAACTTAAATCTATCGAAATCACTCCTTATTATTTCACTATTATCAATAAATTCTGTTGTTCGATTTCTAAGTTTATCGAGAACTAATTCTTGTTTATCCTCTATAATAGGTAACTTAAATCTATCGAAATCACTCCTTATTATTTCACTATTATCAATAAATTCTGTTGTTCGATTTCTAAGTTTATCGAGAACTAATTCTTGTTTATCTTCTATACTAGGTAACTTAATTTTCTCGAAATCACTCCTTATTATTTCACTATTTTCATCATTACCTACAGGGATAGTTTCGAAAAAATTCCACCAATTATAAACTGGACCTAACGTTCTTATATCATACTATCCTAAAATTGGTTCAATCTTCAATGTAGTTATCCACAAATTATACTTTTATTAACTCCTGGTAACCTTACCCTATAATACCCTATTTCACCACGCTACCATCCAATTGTTTGGCTCTTATCTTTTTTGTAACAAATTCTTTCTCTGGCCAAAATCTCATAAAATCCTTAACACTTATCAAACTAATTTCTGCTCCTGTATCTAATTAAAAAAAAATTTCTGCTTCATTTATATTTATCTTTACTCTCGGGCATCTATTCTTCATTAAAAAATTCTCTAATTCCATTTTTCTTACATCTACACAAGTTTCATTTTTAATTCTATATATTTCAAAATCTCTACTTTTTATTTTTATATCACTCCTTTCACCTATACTTCTATTTATCGCTTGAATTATAATTATCAACGTTAAAACACTTTTTATTATTACAAAATTTATCGTTCATATTCCAATAATTATTCTTACTTGCACTAACACTATCAACATTATACAAATTATCATTATTAAAATTAAAATACTTATTTTTACTACAATTATTAACATTAAAAAAATTATTATAATTATCAAATCTATCATTAAAATTAAAATGCTTATTCTTACCTGAACTAAAATTAGAAAAACTATTATTACCAAATTTATTATTAAAATTAAAATATTTATTCTTATTTGCTACTAAATTATCAACATTAAAAAAATTATTATTATTACAAAATTCATTATTAAAATATTTCTTTCTTAGTCATTTGTTACATTTCTCTTGAGTGTGTCCATCCTGGCCACAAATATTACATCTCACAATCATATTGTTTAATCTACATCTTATAGCTAAATGGCCATTCCTGCCACATCTCGCGCATTTCAAATCCTTAGTTAAATCACAATTACGCGACATGTGGCCTGGCTGACCACAGCTATAGCAACTAATTCGTCTGAAATTCTCTGTACTTCTAGAAATGTTTATATTTCTCTCCTCATTTTCCTCATTTAATATACTTTTTATCTTATCTAATTCCTTATTTTCTATTTTGATGTATGATGTATTTCTACCTAAAATTAAACCTAATAAAAATGCTAAAACTATTACCGAAATTATTATTACCATTATATTTTCCAACAATAAACTTAAAATAATTTGACTTAGATACATTACAAGGAATCAAAATAATTTTAATCACAAATAACTTAATGCTGCGGCCAAAATTATACAACAATGTAATTAATATTATGATTAAAATAAAAGCATAAAAAGGCATTAAAAATAAAAGAAAAGAAAATATATATATTTTTTTTTTTACCTTAAATACGCTGATATATAAAAAAAATTGACTTTTAATCACAATTTATTTCTTCTAAATTTAATTGTATAATCTATTTATTAGACTGAATATCTGCGGTCCCTGAGTATGTTTACTTCGGACCAGTGTTAGGTTTTGAAGTTGATTATTATAAAAAAAGGAAGATTAAATATTAAAATATATATAACATCAAACCTTTTTTTGTATTTAGAAGTACGGGTAACTTTATTTTGAAGTAGAATTAATTGAATAATAATTGGTGAGTATCTTTTAAATGATTTTGTTGCGTATATATATATCTTTTTTTTTTAATATTCAAATAATATTTTTTAACCAAAATTTGAATAACGAAAGAAATTAATAATTTAAACATATACTAACAATGCCCAACTAAAATTATTATATAATAATAATAACTAATTATAATATTCAAAATATAAAAAAAAAGGAATTAATTATTTAAAAAAATGAGTAATTACAACAGGGATAATATTACACTCTCACTAAATCTTAATATTATATAATAATGAGAAGGAGAAATAATATCAAACAAAACCACTAATAATTTTTTATTATCACAACTAAATTCTAAGGAATCGACAGATAATCAGAAACTACTGACGGACTTGAATCAGGCAGCATCTCAAGTCTTGTGTGCGTTGGATCGCTTGATCGAAAACGTCACTAAAGGTATTTAATGAGAAAACACGATATATTATATGAAGGGTATTATAGGAGTATAGAATATCTCAGGAATATTCCTATTAAAATAGAATCGAATAATAATTTAATATGCAAAAATAGGAAGAATTTTTAAACTGACATTTTTTGTGTGGCTAGTAAGAAGTCACCATTGATTTGGATGTTGTCAAGGAGAGCAGAGGCAGCCAACATAGCTATACATTTTTGGATTTCACTTAAATTAGATAGATTTCATTATATTATCTATACTAGTAGTTTTTATGGGTGCCAAATAGCGCGATAAAAAAAATGGTAGAAAAAAATAAGAAAAACAATTATTTTATTCCTTGAATTTTCAAAAATTAATTTATGAATTAAGTTTAACAAAATGATTACTATAAAATAAACAAGGATATTTTAAATAGTTGGGAATAATTTCGAATAATACGAATCCTATCAAATATTTAAGATTATTTTGAATATTTTTGAAAAATTTCGTTTAATACGATTCGAATTTTCAAAAAAATTGTACAAGTTAGAATTTTGAATATAATATTTTATGCTAAAATTGGTAATTTTTTTTTAACAAAATATTTAAATATAGTGAACTGAGTCTTAGTACTAGTTAGTTATAAGTCCAAAATGAACAAACACTCAAAACCGTTCAAAAGCGATTGGACAAATTATAAAGGCAATCGAATGGTAACGTTCTTTTATCCAGAGTTGTTAAACTCTACTTTTAAAAGTAGCACACTACCGCTATCGCTACCAATCAAAAAAAAGTAGCGAGCTATTAGCTACTATCTTTTAAAAGTAGCTTTGGCTACTTTTAGGCTACTTTTTATAAAAATAAATTTGTTTTATTTTTTCCTTATAATGTAATTGCATAGTATATAATACATAAAATTCAACTTATAAAGCTTTGATTATAAAAAGTTTATTTAAAAAGACTATAATTTATGTAATAAAAATATATATTATGGTAATATTCATTTTTTATTTATTTTGTTGCATTTTAATAATAACATTTCTATGCTATCATCCCCAAGTCTAGAGCAACGATCAGATGGTATAGGTTTCTGCTTACTAAATAATCTCTTAACACTAGCACTTGAGGGCAAGGCAGTATTTAATTTTATATACATACTTTAAATATAAGAAAAATTATCAAAAATACTCATTTAAGTATTTTTGGATTTAAAAAACGGTCTAGGGGTTTTTTCATTATAATTAGTATCCTTTATTTCAAAAAAAATTATTAGTTTTTATGGTTTTAACTTCAATCATTAGTGTCTGGCGACAAAAAAATTATTATACCAGGGGATAGAGTTTTAATCATCGTGGTAAATGATAGATTATCAACCAACTGAACTGTATCAATTATAAAATCGACAATAACTATCATCCAGTTTCTGAGAAATATTGGCATTTGCAATATTATTGATCAATTCAACTTGAATTGAATTGGTTTTTTGGATGTAGTCTTCCCTAAACCAAAATTATTAAAATGTTTTTCTATCTCTTTAAAAAATGTTGGCGTGAACATTCTTACAAAATAAAAATACTATTAGATAAAAATGACAATTACCTTTAGGTGTTTTTTAGCGTTATAGCTACTAGATTTATTTGAGAATATGTTTTTTACTAACTGTAGCCACCTTGTTTTTACATTAATTTGAAAGTATTTTTCAAATTTTGGAAATGGAAAATTTGTATTATTATTAAGAACATTTTCTTCCAGGGTACCTTCCATTTCATTAGTATCATAATTGGACTCACTTACATCGATTCGGATATCTATTTTCGATGACATTTCAAATAATTTACACCAGGTGATTTAGGTTTATAATACAAATTATTATATAAATTGAAAATATAAATTTTAATTTCAAAATTAAATAATAAATTATAATTAATTATTAAATTTTCATGTTTATAGTTACATTCATTCTATTTTTAAAAAGTAGCTAAGTAGCGCTTCAAAAAAGGAACGCGCTGAAAAAATAAATATTTGGAAAAAGTAGCGGGCTATTAGCTATCACTACCAAAAAACATAGAGCACTACTTTAACAGCTGCTTTTCTCAATCTTTTTTACTTTCTCGCAAATCATAAGCATATCTATTGAGGGGATTAGGTTGGGGTGTGGTTGTATTGATTGGGAAATTTTAGAATTGATATGAAAGAATAAATCAGAATGAACATGAAATTTATTTTTACAAGGAATCTGGTATAATCAAAATTAAATATAATTTATTCTTTCTTTAACTTAAAATATGTCGATTTTTATATATCTAATATATCATCAGATAGTCAAATAATCAATTGAACATTATAATATGATATGAAATTAACGCCTCAAACAGTAAAATATAAACTTTTAACATCAATTGAACATAATATAATATAAATGAAATTAACGCTTCAGACAGTAAAATATAAACATTTAAATATTATTTTACACTCACGTAACTACATCTACATTATTTATTTTGCACATTTTTTTGGTTAGTTTTAGTTTTCACCTTATCCATGCATCAACTAATATATATTTTCATCGTCCTAGTGATCAGAACCCTTAACGAAATCTATTTCATTTCTTCCTTATTTCTTTTTTTGGGGTGGTTTTTATATATAAAATATTATTTTCTGAAAGAATGGATGAAAATGGGTAAGTAATTCAAATATTCGAAAGAAAAAAAGGTAGTTGATTTACCTTTATCATTTGTCCAGTAGCTTTTAAACGGCTTGGGGAATATGTTCATTTTAGACACCTGACGAGTGCTATAAGACCTAGTTCACTATATTTTGTTAAAAAATTGTCAATTTTTTTTAGCACAAAATATTATATTGCATTCCAACCTAATATCCTCAAATTGAATTATTTTCATCTTTTATCTTTCTTTCTTAATTTATCTACCTTCCTCTTTTTAGCTAACCAAGTTTTAAGATTAATTTGACTCTATTACTAAAAGATTTTGTATTTTACGAATAATATAATATTTTTATTCGAATCGAATCGAATTATTCGTATAATTTCATTGTAATCATTTAGTTAAATTTATTTCATTTTCACGCTTTTTATAATAGTTTAAAATAATTTAATTTTTCGGAAATCCAACGAATAGAATATTAGTTTTTTTTATTCGTCTTTTATCGCTTTACTTGCCTGCCACCTTTAAATACAACTAAATATTTACTTTAAACCAATGTTGGCGTTCTCCGATCTCATTGCCATCATTCAAATTAACATCGGGAATGGTAACGACCTTTCTCCAACCTTCTTTCTTGTTATTAAGTTTATTACCGCAGCGATTAAAGAATTGATTTCCTGTCTCATATTTTTGTTCGACTAATAAAATAAATTAAACATGTCTATAATATATATTACCTTTTTTTAGAAGTTACTTCTTCAGATTTTTTCTATTATCACAAATAAAATCTTCATCAAAATATTTTTACATTAAATTTTACAAATTAATTTTATATAAATGATATATATGGTTATGATTAAAAGATATTGATTATTTAAAGATAAACTGATTGATAAACTAGAACTTAATATTGCTAAAAAAAAAAATTTGAAACCTTTTTTATTCATAAACTAAAATAACAAATTGGAACTTGTAACCCTAGAAACTGGAAGAGCCTAAACCATAACTTGATATTATTTTGTAAAATTGATAGGAACCCATTTTACAATTTTTAGAAATCCCTGAGTCCGTTCTGAACTGATAAAAGTGCAAATAATTAAATTTTTCTAAACGTTTTTAGAATCTGGTAAGGAAAAAAAAGGTTAATAGGCACTGAATGAAATTCTCTCGATTACTATAATTTAGATAAATAAATTTTTTCAGATTTATAATAATTGATTTTTGTAAATAAAAATATTTGAATTTATATAGCTAAAATATTTTCTTTTTCTGTAGGACCCCTCCTTACGTACTATCTGAAATTAACTTGAGTATATATAACCCTTTACATTTTCGCGTGCAATATCACAAGGTTTTGAGCCAGAGAGGGACGCGCGTAACACTAGCCCTCCCGATATCTCTGATCTCATGCTCGAACGCAAAGAAATTCAAGCCTTCTCAAATATCCGGTCCGCGACCGAGATTCTTTTGAATTCGTTAAGTAAACAAAACACGGCAAACCGAACCGGGACAGACGAAGATAACGCTATCAACACTAATCTCATGATCCAGCAGGCTAGGATAGTGGCACAAGTTTGTACATTATATGAAATGAAGAAAGAAAGAAGGGAAGATAAAAAATAGGATTGAACAATAATAGTTCAATAGCTTCATGCACTTTATTTTTATGGTCATTATTCTAAGATTAAAAAAATGCATCTTATTAAAGAATAAATATTATATCAAGACCTGTAATAATCAAATTTTTGAAAAATTCAAACCCAGCCCTGGATTTTATTTGTCTCCTATAGAATTTTTATGGGCTCGGCCTGGAATTTTTAAAATTTTGTTTGTTTTTAATATTTACAAATTTTATTTCCCCATGGATACATTTATATCATTTTTATGTTTAAAAATATTTAAAACCAGCCAATAACCGGATTATAGTTATATTATTTTCCTGCGAGTCTTTAATATTTATAAAACAAAATTTAAAAAGTAAATATTTTAAGATTAAATGAAATAGTTTTTTTTAGCACAGCCCCTAAAATTGCTTAATTTTGCCTAAAATAAATATGGGGTAAAACCTGATCTGGGTTAGGGTTAGTATATGAGATGGTTACTCGTTGGAAATATCCAACAGATACCCCAGGGCTGTGGAGCGAGGAAGCATTTACTTGATTTAAACCAAGACCGTGAAGGTTTAAATTATTCCATGAATTTTTAATGATAAGATATATGATTGAATGACCCCATTATTTGTGAGAAATATTTATTACATTAATTTTTTTCTCCTAACTTCTTAAGGCTACTGCAGACCTTGTTTCGGCTATAAAACTCGAAGCCCACAAATTTGATCAAGGGTCTCCTAGCGGGAATGCCGAAGACGAAACGGAAAACAACAAGAGGAAAAAATCCCTTTTTGATTCGGCCAAACGCCTCGCCGAAGCTACCACCAAATTGGTCGAATGCGCCAAATTTTTTTCCTCCAGCGATCAAAAAAACGAGTTTTTGAAAATATATTTTAATTAAAATTGATTTTCGATCTAATGAAAATTTTTTTAAAAAAAGAAAAGGATTGAAAGATACAAAATGAAAATAAACTTAATTTTTTTTAAAAGAACAGGAATTCCCGGAAAAAAAGATATTGGTAGATTTGATTGTTATATAAAAAAAATTAAATTTATTGTTTTTTTTTCTAATAAATGCGGGAAATCGCAAGGCGGGACATTTTTTTAAATTTCTCTAATATTAATCAGGTTATAAGGGATAAAAAAATAAAAATTTGATATGAGAATTAGTGATCAGCAAGGCCCGACCTCCCTCCCTTCGGGGTTTGAATTTACTTTGGTCTTTAGAGTAGTGTTGTTAAACGGCTCGTTTTGAGCCGATTTTTAAAAACGGATAACTCAATATTTCATCCAAAAATATTACGCAAGCCTGAAGATTTTGCTCGTAGAAGGAACAAAGGTCTAGACATATATTAATGAAATCTCGAGGCTTAGATAATATTTTTCTGGCTAAAATATTGAGTTAGCCATTTTAAAAAATCGGCTCAAAATGAGCCGTTTAACAACACTACTTAAAGAGAATATATTTTTTTAAATATTTTTAGTTCATGCTATGAAAATTTTTTTTTAAAATTTCGTTAGGCCCGATGCTGATCTCTAATGAGAATCAAATATTAGGTTAATAAAAGTCCTTTGACTTCAATGATAATTATTATTCCATGAGCGGGTTTAAGCCCTGGAGGGTGGGGGTCAGGAATATTTTTAACAATATAGATGTTTAATAAATTTTAATTGAAAAATATTTTGACTCAATAGTATTCACTGCTTGATCTTAATTGGTTGGACGTAGGTCTGGAAGAAGGGTGGGGAAAAAAATAAAAATTAAATATGGGTATCAAATAAAAGGTAACATCCATTATCAAATTAAGGATAAAATTCTCATACCCCGTCATTCTTGACGGGTTCTCTACTAGTATCCGTATAATTATGTATGTTGTAATTAACGCATCGCTTGAGTGACCGCGATATTTCCGCGTTTTCAATAAACGAGGCCTTATCAACATAAATTATTTTAAAAAATGAAATTTGATAATAAAAAAAAATTTTGCTTTGTAAACGCTATAAAATTTCTTCGATTTTTTTTTGCCACTCGATCAATATGTGAAAGTCACATGGGCATGTTTGTCTAATACCATCTTTTTCGTGTAATAAAGACCTTGCTATATATGAAATATGGTCTATGCGATAAATATGTGAATATCACATGGGCACTCTTGTTCGTTTAAATTACTACCATCTTTTTCATACTAAAGGCCTTGCTATAATGAAATTTGTGATAGACCAAATTTATATATTTATCACTAAACTAAAAATCCACTTCACTATAGCGAAATTTTACTGATTTATTTTATAGGTCCTATTCATATTGAATTTTAAAAAAAATAGTTGAATCTTATTATAGTTATCACTTATAAATATAAACTAGTGGTCTATCTATGCTTTACTGATTTTATTAAAATTTATTTCATATGATCCGTCTAAACCATTAATATATATATATAAATACTTGTAACAGTATTTCGAAGGAAATTCAAGCCGAAAAATTTGCAGAAGCTGCCGTAAACCTTCGCTACGCTACCAAGAACGCCCTCGATACCATTTCCTCGAATAGAATCATCAAAGAATTTAGGGTAGGTCCTTTATTTTATAACTCCTATAAGGGAAGAATAAATAAAATAATAGTACTTCTAAAATTTCTACCCTTTTAATTATTTAAAAGATAACAGATTGGTTTGTAAGAGAGTTAGCGATAATTAATTATTATACTAGATAATATGTATATAGGATAATCTTAATGATTGTGATTTTTTAAATCACAGAACACATAAAAAGGAAGCCTTTATTTATTTCTCCAGTATTTTTTTAAAAAGATATCTTTTCGGTATAATAACAAAATTGTCAGTATTCAATTAATTTTTACCATTATTAAAATAATTTGCCAGTAAAATAAATTAATTATTATGATGATTAATTATATCTAAATGTTAAGTTGATATGAAAATATATTTAAAAAAATTTTGTGGATCATTTTATTTATTTTTTTAAAAAATTGACTCAAAATATATTACTAGCAATATTATTTTAAATGTATTAAATTATTCGAAATCTTTTTAATATCTTAACTCCATTAAGATATAAAGATTATAACTATTAATTTATATTACTTAATTATTAAATATATTATCCAGTACTAATGGGAGAAGAAGTTGAAACTTAATTAATAGAGTTTATCCAATAACATCGTCCAAGAGGTAGGTTTCAGGAAATTTTTTTCCCCATAAAGGATTCAGGTTTCTAATACTCTGAGCCATCAAATGAGAGATTAAAAAAATAAAACATTAACAACTGTCACAGTTTAGACCACTTAATAAATCGATAATACACCCAAACGGTTTATCTTTTATTTTGGGGCTAATATTTTGAGAATAAGAGATGTACAATGATAAAAATAATTTTTAAAAATGATATATATATCATAAAAAAATATAATACGTTTCTTACTTTTATAAACGAAGAACAAAATTAAAATAATTCAACTAAAAACCAAATTAATTTTAAACAAGGAAGGTTACGAATCATCACGACCAACACAAAATAACACATATAATTTTAAAACTCACAAAATACCTCTTATCACGACAGTATTGTTCTTAGGACACTTAAATACCTCTACCACTAACCAATTTCATTATTAGGTATAAAAATATCTTTTTTTATTAATTAAATTTTTGTTTGTGGCGGTTAATAACTTACCAATTATATTTTTAATATTGATGGTATATTATTTGTACTGGTTAAATGTTAATTTCATACTGGTAAAAATGAATAAAATATATTGTTCAAAATATAAACTGAGAATTTCATAAAAATATTAATTACTCGTCAAAAAAATATGAAAGGGAAAAAATGTTTTAGCAAATTTGATGTAATTAATTTTCAAAATAGTTATTTTAAAAAAAATTAAGGAGGTAGTTTATATAGGGGGATTTTATTTCAAACCAAAAAATATGGTTTTCTGAGGAAAAATAATCCTTAGATATTCAACAAATGAATGAAAAATGAATAATTTTTATAGAGCGCAGCTCGAAAGTCTATTTCCTCGGCTAACGACGTATTAAACGTGACAAAACATTTGATAGCTAGTGACAGTCTAGATCTGGCTAATAATGTCGATGCCAACAAAAATTTGTATGCCTACGATTTTATATCTCATTGCAAAGTTTTTATATTTACTATACCATATTTAGCCTATCTTATTTTTTCATTCATTCGTTCATTCTATCTTTTTATATTTATTTTATTGACCTCTTAAAATAAACTAAACCGGTCATATATACACCTTTTTTTATAAATACAAACCTAACCTTAACTCTTATCTATGTTTTGATATGATCAGAGTAGTCCATTTTTTTTGCTCAAGAATTCTCTTTATTTTGATTTCACGAGAGGACTTCGTGTTTTGTATCTTAGAAAATCTGGCTTGCGAAAAATACAATGCACGGGATTCGAACCCCGACATTTGGGTTGGAATTAAAATTTTTATTTAAGGTTACAGACCTGAACCAAGGCGCAACAAGTTATTTCCGCCCTGATTTTTTTTTGCAGAATGAATTTGTCAGTATCCTAAGTGTCTGCTTGATTTTAAGGGCTAAGCATCTAATATGAAATCAGCGACAAAAAATATATAACTTGAGATCCAACCCCATCATTTTTATATTTTAAAATTTGAGTGTTTTTAATCTCAATCATATATGCATAGTATGATCCTTCTTTTTATTTATTTTTTACTTAATTTATTAACTTTTCAAAAGTTGGTGGGAGACCGTCTTACCGATCTAATAAGGAGCGTAGAAGTTTGCGATGTTTCTCACAACGGTAAACATCCCGAGAAAAGTTGCTCACCGGACAGTAATAAATTTTCGCGCGTAATTCAGACATGCGATGAATGCCTAATTCCAGCTCAGCAACTCCTTCATCAAACCGATAGAGTGGAAGATAGCGGTTCTATCCCGGGTCGAGTCAATTATTTTGTTAGAGATTTAACAAAATCATTATCTAGACTCAAGACTTGCTCCCATAAAGTCAGTCGATAATCTGAATAATGATATTTTTATGTTAATTTTAATAAGAAATAAGTGAAGAATTGTAAAAGGATAGAATAAAGTTATATTATAATAGCTAGAGATAATTTATGGTACATCATTTAAATTTCGAGGTTTATATGTTTTTAATATAATATTTAGGAATTAACTTATAAGAAATGTTGATCGCTTTACAATAGGTCATTTACTCAATTTTATTCTACTAAAATATTTTTTAATTAAAATGACTCGATATATATTTTAAGGTTCAGAGCCAAATTCAAAACAATACAGGCTTTGATGTGTATGGGCTCTTGGTTAAAGAATGGAATAGATCCGCCTCCATTAAGTCCCTCTTCTAATTCCTTCCAAGGAAGTCTACAAACAAAGACATTAGCATTTATTTAAATTAAATATTTGTATTAATTATTATATTATTCAGAATTAATTTTATATTGTTTATATAATACTCTTATATTTAATAAAATGATAAAACAAATTAAATTAGGTTAAAAAAATATGTTTTTTAAACAAATAAAAGGACCCGTCTATCATTTGTTTTATCATTTTATTAAATATAAGAGTATTATATAAACAATATAAAATTAATTATGAATAATATAATAATTAATACAAATATTTAATTTAAATATAGGCTAATGTCTTTGTTTGTAGAACTTCCTTGGAAGGAATTAGAAGAGGGACTTAATGGAGGCGGTAGATGTATTCCATTCTTTAACCAAGAGCCCATACACATCAAAGCTTGTATTGTTTTGTTTGAAAGCCTATTCCTTTTTTTAGTGACAAGATCTCCTGCTTTCGAAAATATTTGTTCACAGGGGACAGATGTTGCTTGAATTGCTAAAAAATTTCTAGCTGCTAATGAGAGGACTGGAAATCTATATAATAAACTATATTGACTATTTAAAAAATATAAAAGACCTTTCACTATTGGCTTTCCACCATACTAATATGTCATCCTTTAATGAAACAAGAGGTTCATTCAAATAGGTGTGAAGTTCTGATATATTTTCTTCAATGATTTCTGCCGATATATAATCCCCTTCTGAATTTCTTTTTTGGGATAAAATTCTTTCTAAAAAACTAAATTCATTGATTTCCTCCTGGCACAAATGTTTGAAAATTAGGATTTAATAAATAAATATTAAAAATATACCTGAGAATCCGTTATTCCTGTATTTTTTTATTTTCTATTTTCCTTAAATATTTTGAAAATTTGGTCATATACTCAATTCTATTAAGAGTATTAGGCATGTAAACTTGTTTTAATATCGGATCCAATAATGTTGAGACATATGATTCATAGCAAAATAATTCTTTGAGATATTTCTACATTTTAACCAGCATGTTATTAAGAATTTCTTGTATTGTTATTATCCTTTTTTATATTATTTAAAATTTCATTATTTATATTCTCCATATATAACATGGAAATCCCAACTGTAGGATATTTGGATCCTGATAAATCAAGTGTGGTTTTATAGAAGGGCCTTAGAAAATCTACAGCCTCTTTAAGGTCTTCTTTTTCACACTCAGTAAAGAAAACCCCTTTAAATTGTTTGTAATTCAAAAAAAGTACTTCTTCTATAGCATCCATGATCTAAAAATTAAATATTTTTTAAAAATAATTGGATAAAAATGTAAATACCTCATAAATTGTATTCATCATTAAATAGGAGCTATTCCATCTAATAGGGATATCAGAAGGGATTTTAAATTTTGTAATACCCTTATTTTCACATATTTGTACATATGCTTGATTTATTTTGGGTGATTTATTTATAGAAAAGGCTATGTCTCTACACTTTTCTAGGATAGTTGTAATATATGATAAACTTTCCTGAGATATTAGGTTTAGAATATGGGCACAGCATCTAAAGCCTTTAAATTTTTGTTCCTTATAAATATTCTGCAAAATATCCATGCTTTTTAGGATGTTATTGGCATTATCTGTAGTACAGGCCATTATATTCTCCTCCAATTGATATACATCAATTACTTCTTTTATAGTTTAGGATATTTCTTCAGAAGTATGAGGAAATGGGATATGATTTATATCAAGTAAAATATTTTTAGAATCAATATAGTGTGCAGTAATGGCTATAAATGAAATTTTATTTATATTGCTCCACATATCTATGGTAAAGCTTATTAAAGAATTATTTTTATTTAAAATATCTTTTAGAGAATTTCTTAGTTTCTCAAAATTAACTGTATAAAAATTTTTAACTTTGTTTTTTGACCAAATTGTAGCAGTTGAGTTTAAATATTTGATTAAATTATGAAGACCTGAACTTTCAAAAGTCTTCATTGGCAGAGAGTCCATTATTATCCATTTTATAATGAGTTGGTTCATATGATCTGTTTGGAATTTATCCAATGGTATTGAAGAAAGTGATTTTGTACTTGTGGAGGGCATATTTAAATTAAGAGTAGATTGTGTTTTTGAGATATTTTCATTTTCATTATTAGAAGTATAAATTTTATATTTTATCAAATGTCTGCTTAAGGTACCTAATTATTTTATTAAGAATAAGGTTAAATTATTTTGACAATGAATTATTCAGACAGTTTCTTAAGAAAAAATAGATATATAAATAATAACCAAAATATTTTAATAATAATACTGCTTATTTTGATTAATTTATTGCTTAGAAAATTATAAACAATTATTTTGTTACTTGTTGCTGACGATATGTTGAATTTGGTATTACAGTGAACATATATTCTATGTTTTTTATTAGGACTATAAGTAAAATGTTTCTTGGACAAACTTATGGTTTTCATATTGTAAAAAAAAAATTAACAAAATCTAAAATAACTCCTCTAGAAAAATATCATAAAATAAAATATACAAAAAAATTATATTAATTGAATAGTAAAGTAAACTTAAATATTAATAAAAGACCGGTCCAGACCACGGTCCTCAACAAAAAAATCGGTCCGGTCCCGGTATAGGACCGTTGACCTTCACTACTATAAAAGTATTGATTCCTTTTTATTCAATAAAGAACGCTATTTTATTAATTACTATTTTATTTATATTGTTTATATAGTTTAATATATGTTCCTTCCATAGAAAGAAAGAAAAACAAGCAAGCATAAATCATCAATAAATATAATATATATTTTTTTTGAATCTAATAGATTGCATACAAATTTTTTATTCTAGTGTTCCAGTCTCTCTGCAGAACTGACCGATTGCCTTCTCTCGAAACTGAACAATCCCCAATCTCCCGAAAATTCACGCCTAATATCGTTAGCCCGTTTATTTGATATTAATCTGGATAAATCACCTAAAAATGGCGCCGTCGTAGAAATCATAAATAGAAAACAATTGGAGCAGGCGTCACGTGCAATAGTAGAGGCTTCTTCCGTTATCCGATCCCATTACGACAAATGTAGAGATGGTCGCATGACTCCCGACCAACAGCAAGTCAGGAATATTTAAAAATTTTTTAGAATTTTTTTTTACTCCTTTTTACTATGTCTTTAAATATTCCCATTTTTATTATAAATAAAATTCCTCTTATTTTATTTACCATATTTTTATTCTAGGCTTCTTTAATTAAAAGTTTTAAAAAAATTTTTTGATTGAGTATCGGAAAGAAATTCTGATTTAATAAATTTCAGACACTCGTGTTATGTATATTATAATAGCGACTGTTTAGGAGATAGAGATTTAGAGTTACCGGTTATGGGCGAAAATTTTTGAGGTTATTTCTAAAAAAATTCTAACGCTAGATTTATAATATACTAAATTAGATATATATCCCAATGATATTGATACGAACCTCGACTGATAATTCAAAAGTGTTCTTAAGTCAACTATTATCGCTGAGGTAGAGGGCATTGAATTGCATTTCGTTTGAATGCTTATCCCTATTTCTTTTATATGCTTTTCAACGGCGGACTTAATATATGTACACTTTTTAATGCATTCTACTGATGAATTATCGGTCAAGATTAGTAATAATGTCACGGGTGTTATCCTAACCATTTTGAAAATATATCATAAAGAATTAATAAAAAAGATTATATTTAAGTATATTTTTTAAACGAAGTAAGAGCATGCATTCTCATTAATTTATTTGTTTTTTTTAATGAGAAATTAATTATACTTTTACCCGCCAAGATTTTGACTGCCGCTACCATAATAGCCAAACATACCTCATCTTTATGCAATTGCTGCCGCGTAGCATCATCCAAAACAATGGATCCTCAGCATAAGCGATTCTTTGTAGAATCCGCTAAGAATGTTGCAAATTCCACCAGGGATATGGTCACCAGAATCAAAGTATTTTATATTCAAAATAAGTAAATTTTCTTAGGATTGCACCTTACCTTTATAATAAAAATGACTCCTTATATAAAAATATGTAATATAAATCTCCCACAGTCAAATAAATATTTTTGACCTGACAAGCAGTAGCAAAAATTATCAAATAACATGAAACTGACGGTTAGTGATGACCTGAAAATTTTGTTCATAGATCCCACCAAGATTTGGACAGGTTTAGGCAATATTTTCATAAAATATTGAGCTAGCTGTTTTTAGAAGTCAACTCAAATGGAGCGATTTTGCATAACTACTGACAGCGCTCTAACATTACCAAAAATTAATATTTCTAAATCTAGTTATTATTTTTTATATATTGGTAACAAATAACTTAAAATCCAATCCTAACTCAAAAATTTAAAAAGTAAGGAGGAGTACTCCTATTCTGTGACGAGATACTTTTTTTGAAAACTAGCGGTAACATGCTACTTTTGACAGTAGCGTTTAACAACACTGCATATAATTAATCATTTTAATGGAAGCTAGTTATAAATAGAAAATTAAATTTGCAAAACAAAATTTAGGGACTTCAAGCTGGGACCAGTCAGCGCTCATCCGGAGTCGAGGATATATTTTCTGTCATAACCTCCCTGAACGAATCCGTCGATAACTTGATCCGATTTGCGGCCCGTATTAATTGTAGTCCCGGACCGGATGGAGGATACCGACCAGAAAGTGAATCAGGTTTTCCGGATCCTAGCTCATTTGCTCTAACTTACGAAACGGTAAATTATATGGGATTAAGTTTAGGCTTTTTAGTACAGAACTAGTCATAAAACATCTCAGATCTGGTTTGGTTCGCCATATTCAAATAATTCAGATTCCTTACACACCATTTTATTACTTTAAAATAATATTTATTCAAGATAAAAGGATATTCAAAAAACAAAAATATAAGGGCAAAGCATGTCAAGAGCCATTTTTGGAAGCTTGCAGAAGCGTTTGCGATGCCCCTGTCAATTATTTAGCCGCGAGGGATCTGGGAAATAGTAACAACGATATTCATCATTCGATTTCGTCGCATGAGGCCACATTTAACGACTCAGCTAAATACACCTCCAATCTTGCCACGTAAACATAATACACTTTAATTGTCTTAAATCAAAATTAGTTTAGATACCATATATAAAAAATGAATTTTCGAAAGTGTCACGTGCTCAATGTTTCATTTTAAAAGGATCTCTTGTATTAATTATTTTAAAAAGCGTAATAAAATAAAATTTAAAACGAAATTCGTTATAAATGGTTGTGGAGAAAAATAAGAAATTTCTTCCCTATGAATATTAAATCTTTATTAATGTTTTGACTTGCTCATTAAGCGAAAATTATCCGACATAATTTTTTTTATCACATTTTTCTTATTAATTTTATGCTTTTTCGTGTATATAAACCAACAGTGAAATGGCACCAGGTATCAAAGGTTGCAAAAAGTTTATTCATTCATTAGATGCCGTCCTCAGTGAATTGGAAGACGGTACCATCAAGGACGGGTCCACTTTGTCCCAGCCTCTGTTACCAAACAATGTAGGATATTTTTTTTCCATTATAACTTACACGCTTTGAATATTACTTGTTAATATCTATCTATACTATTTTTTACATTCATGAGTTGATCAAGATTTTGAAAATAAATTTTAAAATATCTTATCTATTTAAACAAAATAGCCTCAAGGAATGAACCAAAATTTGAATGAATGCTTGGAAAGATTAGTGAATCATTTGGATCACACCGTTCAAAATGCCCAAAACTGCAAATTCGAACTCATCGAATATCAGGTATTTCATTCTCTTTTTGCTCCTTTTTTTTCCTTTCTTTTTCTTTTATTGTTCCTTAAAACAATATATCGATTTAAATAAATATTTTTCAAATCATATAATTTAAAATAGGAATTAAAACAAAAAAATTATTGAAGCCATCTTTTAAAACTTATTTTCCTCACATATGTTTTTTCCATCTTTTTAAACGAACCGTAAAAGCTACATCTAACAACTTTGGATATTCGGCACCTAGCTAAAATTTGTCAATCACTCGATAGTTCAGGCAGGCCTCTTTACCTTACTCGAACTTTGAAAGCAGTTATAACGGGGCAATTAAAACCGTTTGCTTTTTCGTTGCTAGCCTATAGCTATTCTTCCGCCAAACCCGATCGGAGCACTTTTTTAAATAGACTAAATCGTAATTACGTTATGATCAAAAATCGATTGGCTACTAGTTTTAACGGTCCAATATAGTTTTACAAATTTTCCCTTTTCAAAAAAAAATGTATTGTAAAATCATGAACATAGTATTATATTGACAATTATTTTTTAAGATTTGATAACCCCTCTTTTTAAAGGCCTTATACTAGTCGCTCATGTGATCCCTCAAGCCAATTACTAACAAATAATTTACCACACTTTTAGCATTACCCGACTAGTAAGTCACTTGCTTCTCTGATTCTTTCTTAAACATTGCATTAATTAAATCATATCCATAAGCATTAAAATCCAAAATTCTCTCCCCTTCCTAATTTCGCATTCCATAACTAAATTCTCTTTTTACTCCCTCATAACCTTCACTACTCGCTCCCACATGTCCATTCAGATCACCAGCCAGGATAATCCCCTCTTTATTTGTCAGTTTCAATGTCACCTCCAAAATGTCCCAAAATGTATCTTTCTCTTCATTTTCAAACCTGAGGAACATACGCCGAAATAAAATTGCATATCTTTCTACCAAAAATCATTTTGATAATCATTATCTGGTTATCTAGTATTCTTATTTCGATTATTTGTCCACCCATTTCTCTACAACAAATACGCCAACGTCAGCCTTACCATCATTACTACTTTCCAGATAAATTTATACTTTTCATTTGTCCTGCCAATCATTCTTGCGCCATTACCTTTCCATCTGGTCTCTTCTATTCAACACACATCTATATGCCTTCTATGCAGTGTATCGACCACTTCTCTCTTCATTCATGCTCCCAATATTTTATGTCGCAACTTTTACTCTATCCCCCTTAAACTGGTTTCTCCACTTATTACCAAGTTGTTTAAGGCCGTCATATGTTTCATTTTCACGCATCGTGGTTCCATCAGATTCTCCATTCTTCTTTTGTCGTAGGCGGATGAGGGGACCCACGGGGTTGACGGTACCCTTCCCATGCTTTGTTGTAATCATTAGAAATTTTGTAGTAAGGTTTTTAAAATCGGATGCCCTTCCTAACATAAACCACATTTATGTGGTTTTAACACCCCATCTAGGAGACGGTGATCCTATTATAGACCCCAACCACAAGGCACCTCTTAAACCTATTAGCGGCCAAAAAACGTTGCCACTCCCCCAGATGAAACCGAAGGTAGGATTTTGGGAGAGAGTTCTACCTCTACTACCTCAGTAATATTTTATTAATACAAAAAAATTATCTTTCCTTATTAACGTAAAATATTATGAATTTTTTTAAAAACTCCTGTATAAAATGGTCACCCTTACCATAGTGTTATACTTGAATTGACCATATTGATGTCCAAATAGAATTTAAATAATTTCCGTATATGTTTTTTATTATAATAAATATTTAAAAATTTATTTTATGAAATGTATGTATTTTTTTAAAATGTTATCTTAAAATATAAAATTCATGACCAGATGATAGAACAGGGGGAGATGAAAATGCGGATGACATATCTTTAGGTCTGAGGAAAATCCTCGAAGACGTGGACTCTGACAATTATCCTAACAATTTCAAGGAAAATGGCGCCCTTGCTCGTGATATTTTCTTGAAACATAGGTTAGTTTTATTAAAGTGTATAGTATAGAAATTAATTTTTTTAAATTTTAAACAAATTTGCCATGAACTTTAAGAAGCTACCCACTCTTAATTTATATTGATTTATATATGTATAAATTATGAGATGCCCAAACTGAAATTAATAGAGCGTGGATACACTACTCATGCCGGGATACAATTCCGTGTGACCCCTCAATCATAGTAGCGTGAATTGGCGGCGAATTAATTATACAAAATACGCTATGTTTTTGTATTCTCCGCCGCGAATTCATGCTAACTGTGAATGCTGGGTAAATCAGATCTTAAAAATTGCCCTCGGTAAATGATTTAAAATCGAGACTATGAATCCCTATGGATTCCATATCTCAATACGACATATATATAAAAGGATAAAATTTTATTTATTTATTTTTCCATAATTTGTTTCCTAATAACATTCTTTTTTCCCTTTTGCCAATTCAACATATCTTAGGGACACCATAATTCAAACAGCCCGTAAATTGGTTGAAGACTCTAAGATGCTTGTTAGTAGTTGTACCACGACATCTCAAAATAGTTCTCCGAGAATGGGAATCAATAATTTAGATCCAAATTCCTCCATCCGCGATTCTAACGCTGATACTACTTGGCAATTGGAAGATCATTTGGGGGCTTCGGCCTCTTCAGCTGTTAGAACATTAGCACAATTAAGTCAAAGGTTAGTATTTAATAATATTGCTTGAGTAACTTATTATTTTTTCAAAAAAAATGGTTTGATCGAATATTGCTTTATTTGATTATTTCATATCTTCGTTAGTTCCCTCTAACTCTAGTTTCCCCAACGCTTTCCATTATAAACGTTCCCCACTCAGCGTCAGAAAATACTTTCATTTCATAAACTTTATAAATTTTTTTAATGAATGTGCTGTAAACGTTAGTCTTTAAAAGTAACGTTTTTCAATTACTTGTTACTTTATTTTAAAATAATAAAGGTATATTTCTTACTTTAACTGTTGTATTTACTTTCGATGTTACTTACAGTACAAGACCGAAATGATATCATTTGAATCGAACATATTTCAATATTTAGTATATCTCATTACTATACCATATTAATGAAAGGATAAAGATGGTGGCTCACGAATTGTACAGCACCGAAGAGGACGGGATAAATCCTGTAACAGAACGGGGAAAGATTAACCGGGAAATTCAAGTTTTTTTTTTAACCTTTGCATAATATTATAATTAGATTTTCTATAGTAATCACGAGGTTAAGAGTAATAATAAAAAGTTCTTTTAAAAAATAAATAAAGTTTTAATGAAAGAGAATAAATTTTATAATTTACAATGCTAAAAAAAATTAATAGTAAAATATATTATAAATATTGAAACCTACACTTTTAAGGAAAATATTATGTCAGCTATTTATATAGATGCTTTTTTATGACAAAAATAATAAATTTTTGGATTAATAATAAATAAATTATATTTTTAAAACTTAAACAAATAGTCCCTACTGATAAACTCTATCAAAGATATCGCCACATCCTTGGGGGATTTGATTCAGGCTTCCAAGCAAGCCACTAACAAACACATATCCGACCCGGCTATGATTTATCTCAAACAATCGGCTAAGGTTTTAGATTTTTTTAAAAATAATACTATTGAAAAAGGGTAATAGGAAAAGAAATTGTTTTTCGAACGATTGGAGTCGAAAAATCTAAAAAAGGAATGACAAGGAAAAAAATTAGAAAGATTTCCTGTGAATATTTAGGAAAAAGATTAATATATATTATACTAATAATATATCTATGACCTTTACAGGTAATGGTGAGTAATGTAACGGGTCTATTGAAGACTTTAAAAAATATCGAAGACTCTACTCTTAGAGAAGTATCCGCACTGGAAAACACCATCGAGTCTATTGGCCAAGAATTGAGGGTAATTTTAATATAGGTTTTCTCATCATAGGATATTATACATATGTAATTTAGTAAGAAGGAAACTAAAGATTTTTGCGTTATTGTTATGTTAATATTAACAAGACTTCGTCCTTGCTCATTTTTTAGAATTCTGAAATCTATCTGAATGGAATGTGATTTTAATCAGGAGTGTGAACCCAGACCCTGAACTCTCCTATTTTTGGAATTCAAACCTGAACTTTTTTTAAGAGTTGAGAGTTCTAGGTTCAAAAAAATTTTTTCGCATTTTTCAAAATCTTTTGGTTTTATACTTCTATTATATAGGTAATATTTTTTTTAGAATTTATATCAATTTTCAATAGTGAAAAATTTTGTAGAGTAGGTAATAATATTTTATTATAAATGATTATTTATTAATATGCTGTATATAGAAATATTATCTTGTTTTATATCAATTTTAAAAGTAATTTTGTAAACCCCCCCCCCTCCTCCATCGTAAATTTCCTGTTCTCATAAATATCATTTTAAGCTAATAAAAATTTCCCTCCTTTCCCCATCTCCCCAAAAATTGTATACAATTTATCACTATAAGAAAGAATTTGGAAGAAAATTAATAAAAGGTTATTAATAACTTTTAAAAATAAAGACTATAATAATTCATTAGAAAAAGGCTATTTTATAAAAAAAAAGTGAAGCTCATAAATTATTTTTATAAAAATCTAATATAGCCAAAGCCTTACAATAAGTGGACCTAAAAATCTCCAATAAAATTTATAAGGGGAAACCCCACTTAATGGTGCCCCCCCCCAGCAAAATTCTGGATACGCCTATGTTATGTAGTGCAGGTAATGATATTAAAGGTTATGCGATTAAATTAAACATTTAAAACATAAATTGTTTAAAATCCTGGGAAACTTACCAACCTTCTCTCACAAACGTCATATACACCCAGTTAACAAAGAGACCGCGTTACATGAGCAAATAAAATCACAATACTATCTCAAAATAACAAAAAGCAAGTAGATGATATAACACACAAATACAAAATAATAACATATAAAATTGATGTCGGAACAATTGAACATATCTTCAGACAACCAACTTACTCCTATTAACGATGAAACATTGCTACTATTGAAGCACTGTATCCCGAGGCTTCAACAGGGAATCTACCCAATCCACGAGATTGCAATTTTTACCAGTGATGGAAGAACTTGCTAACAATTTAATAAGGAAATCTCTATACAAGCTCACCAAATCCTTTTCGGAACATGTTATATATAAATATATTTTAGTTTTATGCCTCGCGGTCTGATTTATACTCATGCCATTCCAGTAGGCTCCTTTTTCAGACGATTAATCGCTATCATCATCGAACGTACGTAAAAATCATGATGCCTTCAACATTTAAACTCTTACCATCTAGGTTTTGGGATCAAGGGCTATTTTGAAATATACTTTAAGAATTTAAAACTACCCAACTAGCACTGTTGTAAATTGATTTTAAAACGCTTTTAATAGTACTTCTTTTTAAAAATTCATATATGAAACTTTTCCCTGCTAATCTAAATCTCATGACTTTAAAACGCCTTTGACATACGGACCTTTTCAGATTTTGTCAGTTACCTTCTAAATTGGGTTGTTTATTAGACCTTTTCTCACTCAATCATCCAGATTAACAAACACCTCAATGATCTCAGGCTTCATATGCTTCACCGATCGTTTATTAGTTTACACAACCAATAAATAGGAGGCTAATATACTTATAACACTCATTTACTATCACTCATAAAAAAAATTTCACACCTTTAATATTGAAATATCAAACCGGTATATCAGTCAATCCTTCTTTAGATTGCACATAACTCCTCGATCATGACAGACTTGGTGGTTATGAAAGGTTAGAATCACTCCCTAATCGTAACCTTGGTAATCTCATATCAGGCGAACAATTGAGCGTTGCCATTGGTACGTCTAAATTGTGACATAGTATATCCACATGCTTGTATCAAATGCAAACACCAGTTGATTCAAAAGATAAGGACCTCAATTGTTTATACAGACAAGGCGACATTACCTTCAAACAGCAATAAATCATGTAACAAATAGAGGTTTGACAGGCGCCCACATTCCGAACCATCTTGAGCCTACAAATTTATCTCACATAGATGGCTTAAGACTTGATGGTATGGCAACCATACCTTGGGCACTCTGCAAATCATTAATATAGAACTACACATGCACTTTCAATCAATATCAATCCCCTAACCCAAGCAGAAACAAAAAAAGTTAGATATATACAAAACAACATCTTCCTATTTATTCCAATAGTGACTTCCACACCAGCCTTTTTTTACCATTGACCTATAAGTTTTTAAAAAAATCTTGACAACAAAATATATATACGTCAAAAAAATCAAATGAAAATTTCTAGATATAATTATAATTCCTTTTTTGGGAACACAATTATGAAATTTTATTTTAATGGTGTTTTGATTTTATAACATTTTTATAGTTTTTTTATATTTTAATAGTTTTGTTTATAACTTTTTATTTTTTTATTTTAATGGCGTTTTTATAGTTTTTTAATTTTTTACTTATGTTTTATTTTGACAATATTTTGTTCTTCAAACTCGGACCCTGAACCTGAACCCTTTAAAATTTTATTCCTGAACCCGAACCCTTTTTTTTACTGAAGGGTTCACATCCCTGATTTTAACACACTTAAAAAATTGAGAATAAATACTCTTTTGACCGTAATTAGAATTACTTAGCTAAAATGTCTTGGATTCGGGCTTTCCGCCATTTATTATAACATATGATATGCCAATATAACTGATAACTCATTTCCTTTTTTGATTCTTTCATTTATTAAAAAAAAACCCTCGATAATTTATCGATTTATTATTTTATTATTATAATTTTTAAAAATATTTTCCAGCTTTTCGAATGTTATCACGACCCTGTCATGCCAATCTCACCAGAGATCCTTATAGATTCCTGCAATAAGATGGCAGCTGATCTTAGAATCATCACATCCGGTTTCCGGAACGGAGAGGATAGCGTTTCCGATTGCTGCGAAATCAGCCGGAGAAACATAGCCGATTTCCTGAGGGCGTGCAAGGTAATAATATATAGTACTAATATTCATTCATACATTATTTGATTAAACTTTTTCGACAGTTTATAGGTTTTGTTTATATTCATAAAAATTTTAAAGTCCCCTCTTATAATAGTCAACACTAACATGTAATATTAGTGGTTAGAATCAATTAAACCATAAAAAAATATTACAAATGTGTACTTTAAGATAAACTAAATCCAAAAGTATATCAAAAATGCACTTCTTTAAATGAACCAAAACTGAAAAAAATAATTTAAAACTACACTTTAAAAAATCCCCCACCAAAAAACAAAACAAAAATAAGAAGACCAAAATAAAAAGAAAAATGTCATATTCCTATCAAATAAGTAATAAAAATGACATTTTTTGGATACCAATAATCAAGTTAGAATAATAATCAATAAATTATTATTTTTTAAATGTATGATTTAGGGTGTGGCTTGCCATTATATGTCAGAACACTCTGAGAGTAAAACAAAGCTTCTGGATTTCGGCAAAGAAATAGGACTCAAATACAAGCATTTTTTACAAATTTCCCTCCAGGTATTATATATTTATTTTCTTTTTTAAATGCTAAGGAAACATTTTTTTAAAAAAAGAAACTAAGTTAATAAAGATTTTGAAAAAAATCTTCAATTTTTTTGAAATTACAAATGAATTATAATAAAAGATTTTGGGATTTTTAGGTAATATTTTTTCAAAATTCTTAATCGTGATATCTCTCGTATCCATTTCTCTATTCGTATCTGAGGCCTACAATTTCAAGCCCGTAATGGACTGTAAAATGTTATGATTTAAAAGTCTAATATTGTTAAATCACATAACTTTAGCCAACTTCAATATGGCTTAGCCAAGTTTTTAGCCAAAAAAATTGAATTTAACCTCTTAGTTGGGCCTGGTCTGGACTTAAAGATTGGAACGAAGTTTTTAGGATATAAATTTGACAGGGTTATTTTGAAGTTGGTCAAATTAACAACACTAAAAGGTCATGGCACTGGCTTAAAAAAATAAGTAAAATTACAAACCCGAGCCAGTCCTTTTTTTTTCTTGCATAGTTCAGGTTTTGCCGAGTTTTTTTTAAAATTATAATCAATTAACCAGTTGGAAAATCATAGTGTATCATTTAACAATAATTTATTCCTTTATAAAATATTTAAAATGGCTAAATTTTAAAAAATCCTGACCAAATTATTTGAAATGAACAAAATTTTGAAAATCGAAGCCAGTTAAAAGAAAAATAAAAGCACCCCGACCGGGTTAAAAAAAAAATTAAACAATCCATGCCGGATTTGAAAATGTAAATCCGGGCTGGGCCAAAAATTTGACCTACCATGACAATTGTAATCTTACATATTTCAATTAGTAAAGTACACGGTATAAACCTAGGTTCCAATTTTATACTGGACCAGCGTCATGCAATAATAATTTAAAACAAATCTTAAGGAAAATTATCTTTAATTCAAACAAAGGAAATTAAAAATAATTTCAATAGGAATCTTGTTTTTTGAAATCATGAGGAATCTTTATTGATATTTTTAATGACGTGCTCATACAAAATAGATATTGATGCAAAACGCCGATTTTCATCATCGTGGATTTGACGGATCGCCACCTTGTTCTACGTCCCAGCTCGATTTAGCGGAAGAAGACCTAGCAGATGCTTTAGATCGAATCTCGAGATTTCTGCGTTTCGTTCTTCCACGGGGGGTACACATTTTTATAAAACTTATAGTATGCCCCACTTTCCTATAAAAGGTTGTCCTTAAATTTAATTGTATTTTATACATGTATCTGAAAGGTATATTCTCCTGATACGACTGAAAGGGAATTATTACGTGCAGCGGTTTCTATAGAAACTGCCGCTAGGGAAATCGCCCCGCTCCCTTCTTCCGCTTCCATCGTTTCCCCCATTTGCAACAATAATGGCTATTACGAGGACCTGGACACATTAGAATATAAGGTAATTAAGATAATTAGCCCATTTCATTTATATATAAGAGTTAAATTAATACAACTTTTGGGAATATATAAGATAAGGGTTAAACGAAATGTTTTATTTCATTCAGCCTGCTATGAGTTTATTTTATTAGAATAGTAAAAATTTTTCTAATAATAAAGGTTATAAATGCTTGATATGTTTCGATTGGAGTCATCGAAAATCGATTCTTTGGCTCGATTTTACAATATAAATAGAATTCGATGTTATAATAGCAAACAAATGGAAGGCGAAACAAAATTATAATTGATTTATTATTAGTACTGTACTGTTTCTATTGTAATTACAAATTAATTAATTTAAATAATAAAAATGATTATATATATATAAATATTTTTATTCTAAATTGATTTTTTACATATTTTTTTCGATTTAAAATAAAGTTGCAGAAAAAAAGAGGAACATTTCTCTAAAAGTATTATTGTTGTTTTTAATTCATTTTTTAATTGTGAAATTCAACCAAAATAGGAAGGATGAGAAATACAAAATAATTATTTCGAAGCGGGCCAGAATTATATTGATAATGTAATAGACTCGGACAAGCCCCATAAGTCTCTATTTTTAATTGGTAGAGTTTTATTTTTTGAAAAAATATTATTATCAAATTCTCCTTAAAAAAACCCTTAGTTATCGGATCAGGATGATCTTAATAAACGACCTTTCGATGAACGGATAGTAAGTGCCGCGCAAGCTATCGCCAACGCCGCAGCTTCTCTTATCAGAGCCTCCTGCGCGGCTCAAAAGGAACTCGTCAGACTGGGTAAGCTAAGTCCAAATACTTTACCGCCATCTACAAATGCTTTCTACGTCGTGCATGCCAATGATAAAGATACTGGAGGTGGAGAAGGCCAATGGTCTTATGGATTGATATCCGCCGTAATATATCCTTATTTAACTCATTTTCAGAAATTTAGCATGCATCCACAATATTTTCTGTGCGCGTTATTTAGGAATCAATCTTTTTCGTTTGTAATGGTTGTACCTTATGTATATTAATAATAAAATTGTTTAACTATAAATTTTACATATATTTTGGGAACATATTTTAAAATAGTATATTTCATAATACATACTATTTTTGTTTCTGTACTAGAAGACTGCAAATAGCAAAATTTTCAGGCCCAGTCTAGTGGAAATTTAGTTTTTGCTCGGCCCAGCCCAAATAAATCTTTTCATTGCAGATCTCTATTTTGCACTACTTATTATTTTTTTTTTAAGAAATAGGAATCTAATTAAATAATTATATTTCATTTATGATGATTCAACTAATTCTTTATTCCCCAAAATAGGTTAATCTTTATATTTTTAAAGCACAAACACTATTTTAAAAAATTTAAACATGAATACAAAACCCTGATGACTACGTCTTATCATCACAATGCTGATTAAATTTTTTCTTAATAGGCTAAATTAGTGGTAGCGGCAACTCATAGCCTGTGTCAAGCGGCTGATGTCTTGGTCAAGAACCCTTCTAATACCGACTTCAATCTAAATGCGGAAGGTATGGAGAGACTCATAACTTCTGCAAAGCAGGTGGCCAGTGGAACGGCTCAACTGCTCTTGGCTTGCAGAGTCAAGGCTGGAATTTATAATCCCGTGACGGAAAGATTGGATAAAGCCGGAAATGCTATCAAGCGTGCCACCGAAAGGCTCATCCAATGTGCCGCCGATATTATGATTAGTACTTCAAACAGTTCTTTCGATTTAAATACTGGCAGTTTTTACGAAGAAGGCGACAGCAGGATAAGATATTTATCGCTGGACAAAAGGATGGTAGGATCACTAGCACAGGTTTGTATATGGAAATTAGGGAGGGGAGATTTATATAAAGCAATTGTTACTTTGTATATTACACGATTTTGTGTCTATTTTATAATCAATATAAAAAAAATTTCTTCCTATTTATAGTAAATTAGTGCCAAATGAATTTCTCTAACGAGTAAATATGTGAACTTTTAAGTCTTAAAAGTTTCCACTTTACTTTTTTTTGTAATTATATAAATACACAAATTAAAATCTAGCGTGCACATTTTATTTTAACTGTTTTACCAATAGCCGCTTTAACCAGATGATTTCTTTATCTATTATATAAATTGTTTTGCATAACTTTCTCATTATTTTTTAGCGAAGACTCTGAGGAATATATGTAGAAATGTTTTTTAAAAATATATTTGGCTAAAACATAAAATAAGAAAGCTAGTGAAGGAGGTTTTTTGGCAAAATATAAACCGTTTAAATTTTCCAAATGGTGAACATAAGTTATTAATTTTTAAATATATCTTCACACCAATTTTAAAATCATTATGCTGTATGGTCAAAAAGTTATTCGGGTTCACGTTTTTTTACCCTATCAATCGCCCCCCCCCCCATTAATAAAATAATTAATTACCTGTAGACAACGTTTTCACGATTTCTTGGAATACATATAAAAATATGATATGAAACTTTTATTGAATGGCATTTAAAATATTTTGAATGTTTTAAAAAATTGGTAAAAAGGTAATTTATCAAAGGTAACGTTTCAAATTTAAAGTATGTCATTTTAAAAATTTATATATTTATAATGATTTTCTTAAAGTTTAAAATGTTTATATACTAAGTTAAATTCTATAACTTACCCAGCCTTAAATCTAGCAATAATGCTAAAAATCAGAATTGTAAATACACGTATCTTCTCTTTTTTTCTTTAATAACCAGATTACAATAACATTTAAGTAAAAATGAAATTAAAATGTTCTATCTGATTCTACAATATTTAATTTATACAATCCCTCTTCACAATGTAAAATAATAGGAGATGGAAGCTCAACAAGAAATCTTGAGAAAGGAGAGGGAACTTGAGGAAGCCCGAATTAAACTAGGAATCATTAGGAAGGCCAAGTACAAAGACAAAAACCCCACCTTTACTCCCGAACCCGACATATACGAAATCTCTAACAATAATAACGTCGACAACAATTTTCAGGCCAACACTGATTATTCGTTCACTTCTGATTTTTAACAATTTTTATATTTTATCCTTATAACATTATTAGATGATGTTCTATTATTTTATTACAACGGTAAAGTTGATATGCCTCTTTTTAAAAAATTGTTTTAATATTACAAGTATTTTTTAAACAACATGGTTCCTCATATTTCTTTTAAAATTTTTTTATATAAATAATGATTGTTTATATTTCGTAATTTTTTATAAAAATCGTATTTAAAATTTAGGAAGCAGGTAAAGGTAATTAGGTTAGATAGATTACCGATTTAAAACAATTAAAATTATTTATAATTTATTTATTTTTTGAAGATGGTTATTAAAATAATTAATCTTTTAATTTATTTATAATTTTATTTTTAAATATATTATCCTCCTGAATCATGAAGAATTTTTGTATTCATTTTAATATTTTGTAAATTATAATTATTATATAAAACTTATTATTTTATCACGTTTTTTTATCAACTTTTTTATATTTTTTTAAAAAAATATACAATTCAGATGCCATTATTTTATTTAAGATATTCATATTGTTTATGAAAGAATTTTTCTTTAGATTTTAATCATAAGAGTAAAAACATAAGTAAATAGGGAGAGGTCAGTAGAGTATATGCTTTTACCAATTTTGTTTTAGATTTCTCAAAAACTACAGGAATTTAAGAAAGGATATTTAAGATATCCTGTTATATAATTTGTATCTTTTACGTCATAAATTTTGCCACCAAAAACTAACTATAAAAAAAATGGAGATTGACAAATTTTTATCATTTGTGAACAGGAGTTTTTCCCACGAATATATTTTCCTTTATAAAGCTCCGCTAATTTTTAGCCCCCTTTCTAAATTTTGCGTAGGAAAGCCCCCCCCCCCCGCCATACAATATTATTCAAAAGTGTTACATTTGAATCCCCCTTTCCTTATTACTCTTAAAAAAATTTATAGTCAAAAATATTTTTCATATTATTTTTTAGAAATTTTTATAAGACGCCGCCGCTTCGGCTTTATTTAAAGTATAGAATGAGGTTCACCACCAAGTAGTGGTGATATACATCATATTTTTAAAAAGTGACCACTTTAAAAAGGGTAAACTAAATTTTAAGCAAAATTTATTTTTTAGCTTCGTCGAGGTTTAAACTTAAAGGATAGCTTAATCTTTGGAAAAAATATACACAAGGCTTAAGAATTTTTTCGACTGTTAAAAATTTGCCGATTGTAAAGAAATAGTCCAATTTTAACGAATCTTTTAAATATTAAAATTTTTAAAAGGGTAGGTTGTTAAGATAAATCGATTTGCTTTGAAAGAAATAATAAATTAGGATATTTATCAGGTTCTTCAGTGTCCTTTTGCCAAGGAAACATTGTTTGCTGACAAATGTTTAAAAAAAATAATTTATTAAGAAAGTTGACAATATTAAAATATGTAGACAACGTCTAAAAATAATTGGAAGTAAACCCCCAACAAAATTAACCCCTATTAACTAATAATAATTTCGCGCTCTTTAGCCGTAATATTTACCCACTCATTATACTATAACAATCTCATATTAATTTGAAAAATCTTATGATGAGCTACCATTTATAACCTCAAAACTATTCTTATTAAACTCTTTCAGATCATGATTATTTAGGTCAGGAATAACAAATATTAATCAGTTGGTGATAATCAACTCTAGTTGTTATAAACCGTATTTTAAATAGTAGCAATGAGCATGTATAACTAAACTGAACAAATTTATCGGATACCCCCCTCTCTTCAAAAAAATTCTAGGCAAATCGCTCTCACTCCCCTCCTCTCATATAGACGTTGCATGTAGGTAAATATTAACATATGTTGCTCCATATAGAAATTTCACATTTATTTAAAGATGTACCATTCAAAAAAAATCCAAAACTAGTAAGATTGAAAATAGATCAATTTATAATTTCTCTAGAAAGCATGCAGCCGTCTAATGGATAGCTTTAAAAACGTTGGATAAATTTCAATAAAATTACTTTATTATTTAAGATATACTTTATTCAAATGATTGGCCTACGAATCTAGATGCGCGATTTGGCGAAAAACAAATAAAAAGATTTAAATGAAATGAATATTATTAGCTTCGACAATATATCGATTAAGATATTCCTAATAAAAAAATTCTTGAACTTTATGGATATTTTATTGTATTGCCGAATGTGAAATGGGCTTTCATCTTATGATTTTGATCATGGCAGATAAATGAACGAGTTTAAGAAATTTGACAAATTTAGTGTTCAACCTTCGATATGAATGAAATCAGAAACATATATCAAAAGATGGGAAAGGAGTCATCACATCACGGGAGAATGAAATCTTTAAGAAAAATACAGCCCAAAAAAACGAAGCATATTTATATATTTTTTAATTTGTATAAATATCGGTGGTATAAATTTGTTATATTGTTTTCAAAATATAATATTATTAAAGAATTTATTCATATTCTTAATAAAAAGATCGATTTTATAAATATATCATTTTTTGATGAATGTATAAAAAGCGATACGTAGTTGATAATGTGTCATATAACTTGTTATATAAAACTTGTCATTTGTAGGAAGTTGTAATGATTTAGAACAAATATAAAATAGATATTAGCTATCCTAACTTCTAATTCTGGATTTTCCACTGTTATTTTTATATCAATATCAGATGCAGTCCATAAAATATAAAAAAGGAAGAGATTCTTATACGTAATTTATGATCGAGAGAAAACCTGGAAAATTGAAAAAATAATATGACATAATATTTAAGCTTCATCAATTATTTTAAAGGTTTTTCGACCCGACCTAGTCCGAAAAAATATTTTACTTAGGTTGGCCGGCCAAATTTTTTTAGTCTGGTCCGTAAATATCTTGTGAAGGAAAAATCATAAATTTTCCATTCAGGATTAAAATATTTTAAAAAAACATTAAAATACTTTGCGCAAATTGTTCTGAGCGATATTTTTGGCCCACGCGGGCCCGGATTTCAGGTCGTGTCTCTCTGATTAAGCTGTTCATATTTTTCCCCAATGAATGCTTAAGATACCCTCTATCCAATTTTTTTTTAATAGAAGACTTAGAGTTAATACACTTAAATAGCAATTTAAGCATCTGATTTATCATCCAACGGATGGGCTCATACCTAAATATTTTGATTTAACACTAGCCCACATCAAGCCTTTGTCCGTAGCAAGAATCGGTAGTAATCAAAGAAAGGTATCTGAAACAGGGAATATATAAGCAGTGCCAATTTAAAGCATAACCTAACTAGGCCGCAGCCTAAAAAGGCACCAAAATCAGGTTGAGCGAAATTTTTAGAAAATAATAATTTATTTTTAGTTATAATAATTTTTTTTTAAAACCCCATAATGAAACGAAGTAACTTAATTATATATCCCTTTAAGAAAGAAGAATAAATGTGTCCTTCATTAAGAATATTTATATGAGCCTTACATGTAATATTTGAGGATGTAAGTTAGAAATGTAGTAAGCAATCTTAAGACAAAATATAAAAAATAGATGAACCGATACAATTATTTTGCCGATATCCAATTTTAAAAATGCCTATCATAGTGAAACTTCTGAGTCGTAATTTGTTATATATTATTATATTTTTATTCTTAAAAATAAAATTAATTCTGAAAACAAAATTTTAAAATAATTGGACCGATGAGGAATTATAAATTCTTTAATAATATATAATACAGTACCAATTTATCCGAAAATTTTAAGAGCAAAAGAGAGTCAAAATAAAATAAACAAGAGAGAAATTTTATTTATTCAAAAATAAAATATTAATCTTCATAATTCGTGGAACTAAAATCGAGATACAGATTAGAAGGTGAGATAATTAATTCGTTCTTATTGATAGTTTGATTGCCCTCTTTTCCCGATAAATCCTTCACCATCTTGGTATCCGATTTTGTTGTTTCTGCTTTTTCTTCCAATTCCGATAAACTTATATTTTCGATATCTGATAAGTTTTATTTTTTTCAAATAGAAAATTTATACTTTACTATACAATTTAACAGGCGATCAAATGTCTGGTCCCATATATTATTTTCAGGATAATTACTCGCCCACATCCGTTCGGCCCTAAATCTTCATTCTATTAAATGGTAAGGAATCACCCTTTGAAATTAAGTTATTTTATTATTGATATGAAATTTTTTATATAAGAATGTTTTTTCACATTATGGAAATGTGTTACAACAAATAATATTATTACTGTATATGTATGTAAACAAATGACGCTCATTTCTCAAACGATATTTGGCAGCGTCTTAGTTATCGGATTTTGAATCGCGACTCAAATTTTCCTATTTATAATATTTGGTACACAGGTAAAATAGTTTAAATCTCATTATATTTTTGAAATCGAGGTATACTTTCGAAAATTTAATATAAAGCTTGTTTTTTTTTAAATTTGAATTTTTTTGTAAAATAAAAAAATCATTCCCACTTCATAGAAGACTCGTTCACTTTTAGGACACTAGATCTTAACCGAAACGCTCCAAATATTCTAACCTTGGGTGGAATGGCATATCAGTCCAGTCCAAGATGACTTGTCTTTTTTTCAATTACAAGAAAATTTTAATTTATTAAGTAGTAAATTTAATTGTAATCTTAGTATAAATATTTGAATTTTTTAAAAAAAATTAAACTTTCAATTAGACTTTCCATCTCGTGTTCCTTAAGAGTTTTACCGTGCTTAAGCATCATCAATTTTGAACTATGAGAATTGCTTCTGGGTCTAGTTATTGGATTTTCTTGACTTGATTCTTCATATGAAACAATAATGGAAGAATTGGCGGCTTTCTCGATTTGACGATCCAATTCCTCCAAAGACGACCTTTTGGCGAGTTTTTTAAACCTTCCCCTGTCGTCTGTGTTATAACGAGCAGGAAAATTAGCGTTGTTAATTTCTTGGCTGCAGTCTTGTAAGAGTGGATAATGATGAGTTTGGGCGATGTAGACCTCCTCGTCCAATTTTATGGGATAAGAAGTTATAACTTGGTTGCCATTCTTGACTGATTCGGCAGATATTCGTTTCTGGTGAATTTCCTCCGAAATATTTTCAAGAGTTTTAAGACTCCCACGGTAGGTTTCTTTTCTTAGTGCTACTTCTCTCTGAAGAGTCAGGATTCTGTCCTTTTGTAATTCTAGAAGATTGTTGTATTTGTCTTTGACCTCGAAATAAGGGAGGGTTTTAGTCAGGAGAGAACGGCCTAATGTGTTTTCGAAGAATGTCACCAATCTGTCAATGCGGCTAAATTCTAATGCCGTGCTTTTATGTCTCTGCTCACTCTCCAATTTATGAGCTTCTGATTCGTTTACCTTAAAATAACAAAAAAGTTATTCTATATTCGTTTTAATGAAATATTATTTATCTTATCTGCTTCATATTACGAAAAACAGTAGTTACCTGATTTATTTTTCCTATAAGATAACAAATTTAAATTATTATAACCTTGACGGTGGCGTGGTTAAGCATTTCCTGCCAGGCGGCATCAAAACGAGAGTCTTGACATTCGCCAAATTTTGCTTCGGCCAATCGGATAGTTTCTTTTGCTGCTGCGTGAATCCCATTCGCCCTTTGGAATTCTAAGGCAGCTAATTGTGTGCGTTTCTGAGCTTCACGCGCTTAAACATAATTTTTTTTTATATATCATGTATATAAAAATAATCTCTATTTTAAGGATTTTTAGTATTTTAGCAGAAACTAGAAAAGCGTATAAATAAATCAATTGGGATGAAGAATCTTGCTCCATTGTAAATTGGTGCCATTCAGTCACAGACTCGGTCTAATATTATGGCAAAATATCATATAGTTCATAATCCTAAATATTGTATGTTTTTTTGACAGCTTAACTCAATAATAACTGAAATAAAATTAGTGGGGCTAACCTTTTTGAAGAGCTTCGTAGTAAGGGCGAGCTTTATCGATACTTTTGGGTCCTGTTTCGGCGGCCAGCAACCGTAATTGAACAGCTGATTGGGAGAGAATGGCGCGAAAAGTTTCGTTGGCTTCATCAGTCCTCTTCTCAAGCTCGTTTATTTCAGTGCTGAGATTATTAAGCCTTTCGAGTTCGATCTTATGATATATCATTAATGTTAAATTAATTTTAGGCTTTTTATCTTATGATATATCATTAATGTTAAATTAATTTTAAGTTTTTTATGAGTAAAAAAACAAAATTATTAATATCTTAAACTATCGACGCCTTTGATTTTTTACCACATAATAATGAGCGCTTGAAATTTGAAGTGCTCTAAAAAAATTTTTAATATGTTCTTTTATTCAGAGGCCTAACAAACTATGCCACAGTCCCAGCGGACATGAAGGGAAGTCATTTTTTACAGTTAAATTAAGAAATTTAAAGGGCGATTTTTAGTTTTTAAGGTGTAGGGGGGGGGGGGGTTTCACCGTTCTGACTTCTTTTCTTTCTTATGGATATGTAATTACGATTGTCTATGCGTAAATTAAATTCTTGATAAAATATTTCCTACCAATATTCAGTCATAAATTTCACAATTTTTTCAATACTATTATATTTAAAGTTTTTTTAATATATTTTTCTCAGAATATTAATTTTGAAACATGAAATGAAATATCAAATAATAATTTTTATTTAGCAAAAAAAAATAGAAAATTAAAATAATTTTATGAAAAAATTTGTTCCCGTACCGGGAATCGAACCCGGGCCGCCTGGGTGAAAACCAGGAATCCTAGCCGCTAGACCATACGGGATATGAATAAATAGTTCAAAATTATTTAACTAATTGTATACCAAACGAATATAAAGATTTGTTTATATTTAAAGGTAACAACAATTATAGACATAGTATGGTAGTAAAATGGAAATTAAAAAATATTTTATTAACACTTGAAATATTAGATACAAAATAAAAATTTTAAATTATTTAATATATGACATTTGAATTTTCTGATATCTGTTTATTTATACAATTTGGCATGGTAGTAAAATAATAATTAATATTTTACTAACATTGAAATATTTGATATAAAATAAAAATTATTTAATAATATATTATATGACATTTGCATAAATTTTAATATCTGTTTAGTTATACAATTTGGAATGGCAAAAAAACTTATTTTTTAATATATCAATAATTAATATAAAATTGAAATGACATTATGGGTAAATTTTGATTTTGAATCTTTGCCAAATATAGAATTAATGTAATCAAAAACACTCAAATTTAAATTTTTCAGGTAATTAAAGATAACCTTTTTGAATGTAGTAAATAATAATGAAATTATAAGTGTAAATAATTAAAAACTTATTCAAATATTCCTTCCAAAAAAAATTCTTACAATTTAAAATAAACTTAGGCCTGATCCACTTCTTTAATGTTGATTTTAAAATGCTTTCAATAAAAGATAGTAGATTGATTCTCATTTTAAAATTTTAACAATGTAAGTGTTTTAAATGCTGTGCTAAAGAAGTGGAACAAGCCTAATAATAAAATTGATAATATTTAGGAAGTTCATCATTATTCTAAAAATGATAAAAAATTTTACAGGTATTCTAGGATCCAATTCTTCTGTTTCAATTTCATCTTCTGTTAGAACAGATAGACCACTCATTAACAAAATTTTAGATAGGCTATAGTTGGTAGTTTTTCATGTCAATCAAAATAAGTTTACTCATTCAAAAATTATTGATTAGGATAATTATTGATTATCATATGTATATCAACTTTATATTTCGCAATTTACTAAACAACAACCAAATTTTATTAAACAATCTTTAATAACTTATATTAATTTTATTATTTAGTAATATAAAAGCGATTCATCCGTAGACATTTCGCCTATTTTTACCCAAGGAGCGCCAATAACTGCCAGTGAGCTCCAATAACCGCCAATAAAGGACAATAAGCGCCAATAATGTAATATTTGTGAATATTTAAATATATCTGAATATTTCATTTGAAAATTTATCTGTAGCTTTATAATAAAATGTCTATCACATACATTAAATTAAATAGGGAGAATAACTCTTATAAGATGGCTTTCAGTACAGAAAATTATCTAGTTCAAAACAGATACCTATTATAGTTGTTACTGACTGTCATGGTTATGCAAAAATGGCAGAAATTTGGATTGAGAATCAATCCAAAAAGAGCTATGATCGATTTTGAGCTACTTGCAAAGCATAACCTGGAAGATGTATTTCCGAACATAAAAATTCAATGTACAATTTAAATTTTATTAATTTTGAAATATAGGATACTTCTCTTAAATCAAAATCTTTGGAAGTTGGTAATAAATAACCAGCCCAGCTTGTCACAATTTATAATTTAAATAATGAGGTCAAACACTTAATAAGACGATCTATGGCTCTTCTTTTATGCCCTCCCTGAGGTATATCAGATTCTTAAAGACATGGCAACTCTTATAAATAATTTAATCATTAGGTACTTTTTTTGTTTATTCACACAATACTTATATTAAATCAACAACAATTTTTAATATACAATTTTGGAATAAATACGATTTTAAAGGCCCTTGCACTAAAAATACTGTTGAGAGTTTTCATAGTGTTTAAACGTCTATTTAATTCATTGCGCCCTATAAAATATGCATTTATAGATTGTATCAAAACTAGTCAAAATAAAAACCAAATAAAATACAATTAATTCTAATGGTATTAATCTAGCAAAGAAAAATTTAAGATATGAAAAAAGGAATTGGCGCATTTACGGTATAATAAATAATTTTAAAAATATTTATAAATCGGGATATTATTTATACTAAGATAGAATCGCAGAGTGTTTAAAATCTTAAACTTAATTATAATATTTAATATTTTTGTATTGTATATTATAAAATTATATATATTTATAAAATCCTATATTATTTATTTTTAAATATACTATTTTTGGATTCTAACCTCTAAATCTAACTTGGCATATTAGTTTGAATAGTGGAATCATTTCTATTTATACTCATTTTTTAAACCATGATCCTGAGAATTTTAGTTTGATCATAAATTATTTGTATTAAGAAATCGACGCATAACCTATCTAATAAACAAAATTAACATATTGATTTCGAAATTTATGTAACATAAAAATATTGTAATATATTATAAAAGAGGAAAGCTTAGTACTCATTGGTTCTTATTAATGCTCAATAGGACTTATTAATATTCATTGGCGCTTATTAGTGCTCATTGGCTGATCGGTTATTGCGGTTATTGGGCTTATTGGCGTCCTTGGAGTAAAAGGCTATAAGCGAAAGAGGCTAAATGTTCATAGGCGTATCGCCGATGTTCCGACGCTTATTGGCTCTCTTTGGCGATTATTGGCACTCTTGGGCAAAAAAAGCTATAGGGGGTAACGTTTTGGCGAAAAAGCTTGTGGTAAAATGATCAGTTATTGGCGCTCAACCAGAAAGCTATATGTAGAAAGTTTTAGGCGAAATGTCTATAGGAGAAATACACCAGGTTTGGAAATATTCTGTTTAAATTTTCCAAGTCTGTTTAGATTTTTTATAAATTTTTGTTTTCATGAAGCTATATAAAATTATTTCTTTTAAATCCATATATGTTTTCTTAAAACTTCATAAATTATTCATTTTTAATTTTTTGCTATTCATTTTTAAATAATTTAAAATGTTCTGATATTTGTTTATATATATTATATTATGATATTCATTAATTATTGTGTTATATTATATAATAATGAATTTTATCCTACTTTTTGAACAGATCGGACTCGATCCTCAAAATAAACGAATCTTTTATTATTTTTCCTATAGCTTATAGTTTTTCAATTGTGTTGTTGCAAGCAAAAATATTATTATGTAAGTCTTGAGATTAGTCCAAACCTTTCTACCGTCTATCAGTAAAATCTCCATGCTTATATTAATTTTGGCTATTCTAAATCGGGCCGTTATTAAAATCGACCAAATTGGGCCATTTAACAACATTATTTTTCAAAAGTTAAATTAAAAAAAATAGAATTGGACCAGGACCTATTTCTAAATTAGACTTTTGAGTCGGAATTTGATCATGAAAAATTCTCGGATAGGATCAGGTCAGGCCTGAAATAGTCCGTGGAAATATTGGAAGCATATAGGATAGAATTTTATTTATGACACATTATTTGGTCAAATGTTGTTATTCATCACATGTAAATATTTGTTTGGTTTAGTATTTTGATACAATATTTTGTTGTCAGGCGAAGATCAGAAGATCTAAATTTTGATTTCATTTGTCTATAAAGTTCTTTTTGTAATAGTTTTTTATTTATTATTAACAATTGATTTTTATCAAATCTTAAGGTCAACGCAACAATCATTGACAATACACATATGTAAACTTATCCTATGACAAAATATGTATTGGAATTTTACCTCGATATTTTTGCCCTCTCTCATAAATTATGTTCCACTGGAAATTGCTGAGAGAAATAAAAGCCTAAAAAATATTTGCTTATTTTTGTTAATAATATATTGATCCCATTAGTAGAATCAACTTCCTGTTCATGGAGCCAGATTTCTATTCAAAATTACAAGTCAATGAAGCACTAAATCCACAAACACAAGATTTAAAATTAAACAAAAAATAAGCATGATATGCTAATACTCTTAACAGATTCAGCCATTTAAAAAGAAAACTTATTCACATGCTCAATTGCATGTATTTTTAATATTATAATTTTCAAAATAAATAAAATATTTTCTCCTATCTTAATAAAGTCTTTATTGAATTGCTACCAGAAAGTAAAAAAGCACTATTTTTGAATTTGGGTATTATAATATAAAATAAATTTTATTTATTTTTTAAATATAAAAAATTAATAAAGCGACCATTAAAATATTTTCTGGAATTAGAACAAAAATTAAAATTGGTTGTATTTCATTTAGCTTTTATTTTTATTAATTTTTTTACAAATTTTTTGTGCCAAGATCTAGTATTAAATTAGAGCCAAGATAAAATAAATATTGGGTCTCGTTTAGGTCATATAAATATGAATTTACAGGACATTGGCCCAAACAATTGCATCATCTCGAAACTAAGTATAATTCTCTCTATAATAATAAAATTATTCAAAAAATTATTAATATCCTTTTTTCAAAAGTTTCATAAATTTTATTTTAAGCTTGTGAGAGTTATCTCCCAAATGGATAATTCACCTCATTATGCTACATATCCTTTATTTAACGAAAACCTTACAGCAGGAAAACGGTATTTATATTCATCTCATAACGACCCACCAATCCAAAAAATTTCAAAAAAAATTATGGGGTAGACAGGGTTTAAATTAATTTTATTTCATAGATTGAGCCTAATTTTGAAATAAATAAGAATAAATATATCGAATATTTAAAACCAGAATCTAAATAAAAATTTATAGACAATTTAAAATAAGGTGATTTTAAAAATTAAAGTTAATAAATATCGAATTCGCTTTCAAATTAAAAATAATTTAGGATTTATTGGATTAAACTATGTCGGGTTTTATTAATTAAGGCCTAACGAAGACATTAATATAGATAAAGAAAAGAGAAGAAGACAAACAAAAGATAATTGTTTTCAACAAAAATATTTTATATCAATATGTTTATAATTAAATTCATTTTTAAAAAAGATCTATTTTAGAATACATTGCAGATAAAAATTAAATTACTCTTAAGCACTGTCACTACCCGAGTAAGTTAGATAGCATTGATTACATAACGTAAATTAAGTTTTGTGATAATATCTTATAGGATATATCGAGTATTTTTCTAAATAAATAATTTTTATACGCTCAAATGAGATAGAGAAACGATTATTGATATTTCGATAAAATTGCAGAGACCTGCCGGACAGGCCCTTTTTTTAAATATACCCAGGCCAGCCGGGCATAATTTTTTTTTTATAAATACCTAGTTGGGTTAGCCGGACCATATATTTTAAAATAAATATTTCAAATCCATTATTAGCTATAAAAATTAAAAATAAATATAATATACTTTTTAAAAATCTGAGCCAAGCAGGGCCGAACCGAGCCAAAATATTTTCTGAAAAAATAGGGGCTGCGCCGTGCAAGATCTCTGATTTTCATCTTAGGAGTAGGGTTACCTAAGTTTGAAAAGAGCTTTGGTCAAAATATTCAGAGGATAATATTTTGTTCGAAGATACTGCTTGTCTAGCGATCACTTTTCCTTCCTTAAAAAAAAGAAACATAGATAGAAGTGAACACTATAATAAAACCGAAGCCGACGTATTATCCAAAAAACACATATTTTAAGAATTATCATAATTATTATATTTTTAAGTGAACTAAACTTAGTTATAAACCAAACTTTATACAAAAAGCGTTATCTATTTTCGTTGCGGCAAGGCTAATCATATCGTAAAAGATTGAAAAACGCATGCTATACAGAGGATTCTGCAGCGGACACCAAACCTTTCTTTTCCTAACAAAGCTACATCGATTTGAAGTTAAATGAGTCTATCAATGGAATTCGACAAAGGCGCTGCTTGCATTTTGAGAGAGTTGCCTAAACTCGTATTGATAAGCCATTATGTTGGCCTGCATATAAACTTAAAGGTATTGAAATCGAAGGTTTGAATAAATGTACCTTTAAAATCGAGGTAAAAAATATTTTTAGATTCTTACCAATTTGGATAGTTAAAAGTGAGAGTTTCCTTATTTTTTGATTGCCTGTCCTTAAAAAATTTGATATAACGCTTCCGGAAGAATTTCAGAAAAATAATAAAAATAATAAAACTGGTCCACTTTTAATATTATTGCATCAAAATTTCCGCTAACAACCATTACCTATAGCTTTACCTGCAAAAAGAATCCCATTTGCGCTTCGTCAAACCGTAAATGCTGAGTTAAACGGACTCCTAGATAAAGGCGCCATTGAAAAGGTGAATCCTAAAACAATTCCAATAACTCGGGCGACGCCAACGATGATTATATTAGAGTTATCCAGTCTCGTGCGGATATGCGGGGATTTTCGTTTAACAATCAATTAATATTTAGCTAAAGATAAAGATTTACCACCAACTTTCGTCGACTTGAAATAGGATCGCAGGTGGTAAAATATTTTCGACGATAGATTAAAGATATGCATTCCTACAATTGGAAGTTAGTCCTGAATGTAGGAATCTTTTAGTAATTAAGATTTATATAAGTTATTAACGATACCTAAGAAACCATGTTAGGTTGATAGCGCACCGATAATATTTCAATGCTTTATGCAAAACCTGATAATGGGAATTCCTGTAGTCAGTGTTTTTTATATGACGTAATCACCGTAAATAATTTAGAAAAAGTACTAAGACGATTTGACAAGTACTAAAAATTGAGTAAGAGTCATTCAGATATTTTTGTTATGTAATTACTAAATTCAGAAATCACCCGGCATAAGATAATATAGTTGCCATAAATAATTGTAAAACACCTTCATATGTGAAAGAATTTCTTTCATTCCTTAGAATAGTGATACATCATGAGCCTTACATGCTAAATTTACATTCCATTTGTGTGCCTTTATACTAACTAACGAGTATATATTTAGATTTGGACTGCTCAAAAGTAGAGCCAAATTATAAGATAAAAAAATTATTTCCAACACCAAATTTTTCCGCAGGTACGAATTTTTTTAATATATAGATTCCTTTATTTAAATAATAAATAACATATAATTAAAATAAATATATTTTATATTTTAATTAACTCAACTATTGTTGTATCAATTAAATTTTTAGAGAGCAAAATATGTTTCTGTTAAAAATTATTTATTACTTTTATTTTAGACCTATTATTATTATAATACAATTATATTGCTAAACATCTATCAAATCTATATACTGCATACAATCCAATAATTATATTACTACACAACCTTTCGGCACCTATAAGTCAAAAAATAATTTCATTGAATATTTTTAAAAACAAGAGCTCAATGCAATGGCTCAATGTTAATTTATTTAATACTATTTATTTTCATATTGCAAATTACTTCAATCAGTTCAACACTAATTCAGTAATTAATTTAATTTCTTACTTAGTTTTATCAATAAAATTTGGATAATATATTGTTATGTTTGAAACATTTGACCTATTAAAAAGTTCAATGCTGAGATATAAAAAAGTGTGCTATATATACAATCAATATCCTATCCACTTATAAAAAATAACCAACATTCTGATGATATTACTGATAGGACAACAACTTTTTTAAATAAAACTTATTTCTAGATAATTTTCTCCTATCTTTATAATTATAATTTAGAAGGGTTAGAAATTCTATCAAACTCATTCAGCTAAACAATACTTTATAATAATGCATTCATTTTAAATGAGATTCTATAAAAAATTTAATTAATGTCCTAAAAAATAATCCTTATACATACAATTTTTTGGTAGTATAGTATTTATAATTTTAGTATTTCCTTTTAAAATATATGAAGGGAGCACCATTAAAAATATGTAATTCATAATGTGCAAGAAGGATAGGAAAAGATTTTTGAGAGGGGTTTTCTTTCAGTTAATATTCTGTCATTTAGACGCTGCTGGTTATTATGAAAATACATTTCTATAACTATTAATTAAATAAACAGGTGGCTCAAGATCAGAATTGGGTTTGCGAGTTTGTAGTTGTACAAACTAGACTATTAAATAACAATAGAACCGGGAGGAGAGGGTGTGACAACTGGCAAAATATTAATGCCATCACAGAAGCTCATTTGTCATCAATGGATATTAATCTTAAAGCTCCACTAGGGCCACCCTCATTAATTATTTTTTAATATTTGTTAAGGTATTTAGTAAATTATTACCATATATATTCATAGGCGTACCAGATATTTCTAAGTTAAGTAGATATTGGGTGTTTTTTGAAGATCCTTAGGTCTACTTATTGTAGTCCTTTGGTTATGTTAAAATTTTCTAAAAACAATAGTACTTTGTCACTTATGCTATTTTCTAAAAACAATAGTGCTTTGTCACTTACGCTATTTTCCTTAAAAATGGTTATTGTTTACAGCAATCATTATGGGTTAGAGTGATATATTGTTTAATAATACTATGGAGGAGGAGAGGGGTTAGTGAAATGGGAAATTTGTTATTAAATTGAGAATTCCTTCTCCCATTGCTACTCCTATGAATTTATAGTTCTTATTAGTTTTAATAATGGTAAGTTTTCAGGAATAGTCCTAATTTTATATTCCTTACAATGTAGCAAAAGAGAAAAATATTCTTATATTTAAAGATTTTTTTAAATGTGCATTTTTCTTTTTAAAATTATCGATGATAATTTAATTCAGAATAAATTATTTGATTATATGGTATATTATAAAAAGTTTAGAATCTTGTATGTAAAATTATATTATATGTCATTGTATAAATTAGTATAATTTCGAAGCTATTTTCCCTGGTAATCCAAATGTATTTAAAATCATTTGGTACACACCAATTTCAAAAAGTAGGTTCGAATTTTTTTAACAAAATTTACCTATTAATCTATTCTCAAAAACTGAAGTTTATTAATTTCTTAAAGATTTTTAATTATATTTATAATAAAATATCCAAATTCTAGACAATTGTTAAAACATTAATACTTATTTTATACCATGAGATTTTTATTGTGATCTAAAGATAGTGTTAGTTGGTAGCATAGATAATTTATTATTATACAGGTAATTAAAATATAAACAAAATTTGAGAATATTGTTTATATTTTATATCATTGGAATTTTGTTAAAGGTGGGGGGGGGGGAGTAGGGACTATTAGGTGAATATTTTCCAGATAAATTTTGTTGGATCTTTAAGTTCACTTATTGTAGGCATTTGACTATATTATATTTTATAAAAATAATTTTGGGTTTTTACCTTTATTTTTAAAATGGTTTTTTTCTAAAAAAAATTATAGTCATTATTTTTAAAAGTTATAAAGTTTTCTTTCAAATTCTTCCTTATATGATATATTTTTTGCTGAGAGGAGGAGTGGATGAAGGAGTAGGTGAATTTTTATTAGCTTAAGATGATATTTACAAGAACAGGCAGATTTGTGAGGGGGGGGGGATATTCATCCCTAATGGTTATACACCTGTTATAGTTTTATCTTAATGTAATTTTGCAAATTTCCATCATATTGGGATAGAGTCTACAAGGGATTTGGAATCTCAAATTTATATCATTTACTGAGGGAGATTTTTAAATTTGAAAAATCTATTGATTGGGAATATCTACCCTATAAATTTCAAACAATTTTTATCATAAACTTTTGTAAATTTTTAAAATTAATATAAAAAATCTATATAAAAATTGATATAAATTAAGAATATTTAAAATTATAGGCAAAATTATATGAAATTTAGTTTGGATGCTATATACTTGGAATACATTTCTAATCAAATCAGATTCCAATTTAAAATTTGCCTTTAATTAATTTTAACCATAAAGATACTGAATCCCAATGGATCCCATATCCCAATATGACATATGTATAATATATATATACTACCAAAGTAAATTTCAAAAAATGAGATATACAAATTAGTCATTTACAACAATTTATCTAAATTTACCATAAAAAACAAGATAATAATAATATGCAAAAATACTGTAATTCATATTCTAAAAATGATGATATAAAATAAAATTATGTATAACCCTGATAGTTGTCCCAAAGCTGGGCTTGGGCTTTCAAAAACATATATATTTTTCAATTAAAAATTTTGGATATGCAACACCTTAAAAAATTAATAAAATTTTATTTTTAGGACAAGCTCAGGTTAAAAAGAAATTTTTATATAGCTTGGCTCTAATTATTTTTAAACCAATGTTCATTTCTAACAACTAACAAATATATCTCTTTAAAATTTAATCTAACATATTATTAGGAAAATTAATGTTCATTTTTAATCTATCATAAATTTATTTGTATTTGATTCCAACATAATTTTAATTATTTAAAATATTTTTTCATGGTATATAATATATTTTTTTTACATCTCTAATTTTTTTAGAAGCTATTCTAAATTTAGAGGATTTTTTTAAAGTTAGATAAAAAATTTTACATTAAGTGAATACATTGGCATTTCTATATGAATTTATTATAGTTTATTGAACGTTTAATAACACTTCATTACTAAGGGTATGTCCTGAACAGAGCGATTTTGTGGAGGACACCTTGATTGACGTCTAAATTCTTAATATTATTTTAAGTTAATTATATTGATATTATTTATATTTATTTTAAAGAGATTTCAAATTCATAAAAGCTTGATTTAAAAAATCAAGTGACCTCTTTAAGCTAGTAAAATAAATGATTTAAAATGTAATATATTAATTATTAATTATTAAAGTTTACATTATCGGGGAACATACAACATTATAATTTTATATTTACCACCACCCCCTCTCCTTTTTAGCAAAATAAATAACCAAATTTTTATTATATTGTTTTACAATTTAAATCATAAACCCCCTCAAACCCGCTGCCAGACTCTTACATATGGCATTATCCTTCAAATTATTTAATTCCTTCCACTTTAAAATAAAAAAGAGGGAATATTTTTTTTTAAAAAAAAGTAACTATTAGGGGAATTAAAAAAAGAGATGGGAAAAATAATTATAAATAAGATGAAAAAAAGCGATATTGTAATTAAATTAATAATATTTATACCAGCCATAAAAAATAAAGCGTATAAAAGATCGACCTAGCTCACTTTTTAATAGCGTCTAACATAATAATATTGTAGTAAATTGCTGCATTTTTTAACACTACTGGAAAAAGGGGAAATTTTATTTTAATATCAGCTTATTTAAAAAAAAATAAATTTAAAATGTGATCGTAATTTCGAAATGCCCCTTAAGTTTTAATAACTTTAAAAAAAGGCTAGCTAGGGCAGCCGCCAAAAGTTAGTCTAATCTGAAAAATAAAACAACCACTCTTTTGGATAACAAATATAATACAAATAGAGGTGTACCGATACAGCGTTTTAGAGGCAGATACGCGATTCGATTTATAATGATCAAATTAGGGGGGAAAAATGTCTAGGGCCATTTCCAGACTAGTGTTGTTAAACGGCTTGTTTTGAGCCGATTTTTAAAAACGGCTAACTCCATATTTTAGCCAGAATAATATTGCCTAAGCCTCAAGATTTCTATAATATTTGTATAGACCTTAGTTCCTTCTATGAGCAAAATCTTCAGGCTTAGGGAATATTTTTCTGAATGAGGTATTAAGTTAGCCGTTTTTAAAAATCGGCTCAAAACGAGCCGTTTAACAACACTATTCCAGACAGAACGTTTTTTTAAAGCGGTTTTTGGGTAATGTTATCAGCAATCAATTTTTTATTTCCAAAAAAAATGTTAACTTCCAGAATTAATTTTTTTAATATAATATAATATTTAAAAAAAACAATTTTGATCCCCATTTTTTTCATCGTAAATAGAAAACAAACTGGTTTGATTTTAATAACGATTAAATGGCGTTTTGAAATATGAGTCCGGATTGTTTTTTTGAAATTTTATATTATATAAAAAAAATTAATTCTAGAATTTAACATTTTTTTTGGAAATAAAAAAAATAGCTGGTAACATTACCCAAAAACCGCTTTGAAAAAACGTTCTGTCTGGAAATGACCTAGATAAGATACCTAAAATATAAAATAAAATAAGGCTATTCCAATTTTTTGTAAATTAAAAATTTTTAACGACCATTTTGATATATCGGATCAGTCTAGTATTATTTATTAAACGGTTCAATTTAGCCGATTTTAAATTAAGATATTAGCCATGATAATATTACGCAACCCTCGAGATTTCGTTAATAGAGGCCTAAATGTCTTGAGACCTATAACTAAATCTCCAGGTTTACGTAATATTTTTTGGCTAAAATACTGGATTATGGCGTTTAACGACATTTAACCTGTCTATGCCCTATATTAGAAATGAGTGATTGGGCTGATCCGATATTTTTAAAAAGGTATATACATCCCTAATTTATAACAACTTTATTTTAAACGTACTTAGGAAAAATGTATATCATAGTTGTATATTTGACCGGTGAAATATCGGTCAATAGTCAAATATAGTCAAATTCATAGAAATATTTTTTAAGACAAAATTGTATAATATTAATTTTATAAATTCATTGTCATTCTATAATTAATGTTTCTCTCTGCGTGGCAGAATCTTATTTTGATTCATATGTTATATTAATTTTCTTATAATCAATTTTACTGTTGTCGAGGTCCTCAATCTATTTCTGTTTTCCATATGAATATTTCCCCCTTAAGAAGAACTAGGACTAAATGTTATTAAAATAGCATTTTTCTTAATAGGCAAAGCCTATTCCACCGGTACCGAAATCTGATTGTTTCTTATGGAAGTTACTGTTTTCCGCATATTTTGTTATAAATATGCCGGGTTTACTTCTGAAATTTATGATATCACTTGAAATATTTTAATCATCGTAAAATGCTTATTGTATTATATCACATGCTTCATTAAACTCACTACTAATAAGATGCTCCCATTGATAATGGAGAACTAATTAATAAGCATCATTGTGATAAGATTTATCTATATTATTTTCCTTTTTCAAACATATTAATTTTTTTAGAATATTTGACCAGGTCAAATACTGGTCAATAGACTGAATTTGACCGGTCAATTGGCCAACTTGCCAACCCTGTCTTAAACTATAAAAAAAATATTATCCTAATCTGTTGTTTAGGCTTTAATCTAAAATGGCTCAGATAATTTTATCATGATCATTTCATTTATTCTATTACTATTTTATTCATCACAAAAAAAAATTATCATGAGAAAAATGAAAACATTTTAGGTAATTAGAAAGTGAAACTGAATTAAAACCAATTTCCAATAATGATGTAAAAACAATTTAATAAAGCACACAATGAGCGTTTACGTTTTGCCGTAATTTTTTAAAAAACGTAACGCACTCCTTGTTTAAATTGAGGTTGCCTTTTTTGTTAATATCGTCTATTCAATATTTAATAAGTCTAAAAAAAGGATTTGTCTTTGAAAATTATATTATCGTCTGCCTTCTTATTTCAAAATATTCTTTTTTTTAGGATATAAGTAAATTATTTATATTACATTTTATATAATATTACAATAATAAAAAAAGTAAAGAAAAAGTAAACCTATTTGTGTTTTTTAAAATAGTTGCTAACGCCAAACAGTAATTTTATCAATTTGCACGAGGCCATTTGAAATGCATTATTTGCGTTTGCAACACAGCGTTTGAAACGCTCAATTTGTGCGCACTATAATATAATAGGATTTGGACATGTTCTTTGATCTAAAATGCTGCCGGATTGTAAAAAAAATTTCTTTGTTAACTCCTTTTCTGATAAATAATATATATTTTTTTAAAATTGTGATAAGTGACACCAATTAAATCTAGGGAGATGGAAAAAAGGAAATATAAAATTAATATATTTTTTGGGCTATGGTCAGGCCGGTTTAATATTTGTCGGTATTACTATTTTACCCTATGGGAC